CAATTTTGACAATTATTGCCGACGTTTGCGAAAATAATTATTCTTTTGCCATTTATGTCCGTTGCATTTAATCTAAGGAACTAGCTTGATGCTCTCTTTTTTATCATTGAGTTTGAAATCTCAAATAATGCTATAAAAAATAAAATGAATATTAGTTTTTTACTTCAAATGTAGAAAAACATCGTTTAATAAATTTCTGTAAATAGGTTTAGATAAATGGTTAATTATATAAATAAAGAGATGCATCCACAAATCATATTATATAAATAATTTTTTTTATATAAACACACGTGACAACCATTTTTCTTTCATGAAATATTAATTATTTAAAAATAATGGAATCCTTATTTGACCGATTACAAATGATAATATATATATTGCAAATCATTTTCTATGGTTTTACCATCCGTGCACAAATGTTTGCCTGAAATGATTTGCTCGGATAAGGGTCGTGCACAGGCGGCCATGAGTAAGTTCGCGACTAAATCCATACGTTGATCCTGATATTGGACACGGGAAAAGTTAATCTTTTTTTCTTTTGTGGTTCATACTTTTCACTTCGTATTGGTGGTGAAGCACTGGAGCCAGATGTATTTAGTACAGATGACCATAAATTCTAATAAATTAAGTTCTAAAAAAGAGTAGTTCTTCAAACAATCCTCTCTTTTTTCTCTCTTGAAATTTCAGCCATTATACGAGGCAATGAAGAATTTAATGCATGTAATTCTACGTTTTCTAGTTAATTATCTTTATTTTAAATTTTTTATTTGAATATATATATATATACATACACACACACTATAATATGTTTGGTTGTTGATGAAGAGTCCGCAAATCAATAGAACTATTACAGATAATTACAAAATTTCAATCATTTATTTGGTAAATGATAATGTGAATACTTTTACATTTAATAGCATATTCATAATTATAAAATAAAAAAATCAATGATATATTTATTACAAAATAATGTGTAAGAATTCTATCGGTTTGGTCCACGATATGTAATGGACCAAATCCATGTAATAATTTATTGTTCATGGGGTCGGTTAATACAAAATTAGAAAGTAGAAAGAAAAAAACATAAATGAAAATGTGAAAAAAAAGACAAAAAATAGAAAAAAAAGTGAATAATGAAGACGTAAATTTTGTTCAAAGAGGAAAATTCCCCTCCCCTTGTTGTTTTTCCGAATTATTAAGGGATCCTAACACATAATAATCCAAAAAATAACAATAAAAAAGAGAAAATTAAATCATTTTTCAAGAGAAAAATTTCTTATTTTACTATTATTTTAGAGTTTAGATTTTTAGGGTTCCTCACAACAAAAAAACCAAAACATAGCAACAGTAATTAGAGACAGATTATAGTCTCCGGTTAAATAGCGATGGATCATGGAACGAATTACGAATGTTGTTAAGTTGTGAACCTCAACTATGGAACACCAATAAATTTTTAGCAAGGAACCTATATTTGTCGACATATTTAATGATAAAATATTCATAGGTATTTTATAAATGGCTTAGTGAGAAAATCACAAGAAAAATCAACGATGGACTCTTGATTTCATTGCTATTTTTTGAGTTTAAGATTAGCGATGATATTTTCGTTGTTAATTATATGTCGATGACCTTAAAATAACAACACAAATAGAAAATTTTCTTTTTAAAATTCTTTTTTTTTCCTTCAAATTTTTTGAACAACGAGTCTCATAGTGAAGATAACACGTGTTCATTTATTAAACATGCCATCAACAACTTAATTAATAAATTTTGTCAAAGATATTTAATTATACATTCAAATAAAAACACTTTATTTTAAAATTTATACAAGCACAAGCATTGAATTTTTCATTATCTCACCATTACACCTATGAGATTTAATATATGAGATCTACTTTCGATCTATTATACTTTTAAGAAGAATATTTAGTAGAATTAGCATTATTTATTATTATTATTATTATTATTATTTGTTTATGCAATGGGTGGAAGAGGGCCGAGTTGTGGCCCAAATTAATCAACAAGCTTCCGTAGACAGAAAGAGGTTTGTTAATTGCTACTCTCCTCTACTACGTACTACGTAGACGAACACGTGTATCCTGCCTTTGTCTGACAGCTCAATAACCCAAGATTGCCGACAGTAAATTATAAATTAGTCCCTCTAACTTTGAGAAACGAATTTTATTTTAAACTAATCATTTAGTATTATTTTTTTTTAGTCTATTCTATGCTATTTATATTTTTTAGAAAATAAGAAATATTTTAGAATACAATAATGATTAGTTTTTGAAACAATCAGAATTAATGAATTCGATTTTTAAAACTAGAGGGACTAATTTATAATTTACTGATTGCCGACAAGAAGTAGCGGTTTAGTTGAGATCCAAGGGGGTATGATGAGAGGAGAGGTGCATCATGGCCCACGGGACCCAAAACCGCATCTAATATTCAATGTATCTTCTGGAACCAATAGTCAGATGCATTAATTAAGGAGGCTTTAAGTAAATTAATTAAGATTTGCTTCGTGAACTTTTTATTCTATGATTGCTTTCGGACATTAAAGAGAGATGAAAGGGAGTGGGAGAGAGACGCTTTTCCCCACACTTGGCACAATAATTGCCCGCCACATGTGATTTTTCTTTTTCTTTTTTAAATATTTTTTATGAGTTGTTCTATTTTATTATTAATATTAATTTAGTTGTTCTTGAGAGGGAAAAGCAAGGATGGATGGTGTATAACATTCTGGATAAATAAATAAATTAAATAATTAAATCAATTTTTTTCTTGGAAACGTAATTTAATTGGTGAACAGATATGCTTATGATGGGCTAATTGCATTATAAATATATTAATTTGTAATTTTTTCAATCGACTGTATAGATTTTAATTTTTTTTTATTGGAGTATACTATTTTTTAAAACTACAAATTAAGTATTTCTATTAATTTTTTCATTAACTAATGATGTGTTTATAATCCTCAAAATTCTAAAATACAATTCTCTCTCTCTCTCTCTTTTTTCACAATCGAATATATAGACTTTTATTTTTTTGTTAGAATATATTAATTTTTTCAAAACTCGTCAATTAAATATTTCAATTAATTTTTTAATTAATTGATAACGTGTTTTTTATTCTTAGAATACCAATTATAATTTTACCTTGTTTTTTGTTGGAGGAAACTTCCCTCTAAATGCTCATGAACAACGAATCTTCTTGAAGAAAAAAATCTCACTATTGTGTTTTTCTTCAAATTTTATGCATAAACAAGTTGAGTTTAGCTCATAGTTTTAGAGCTGAAAAAAATAATATTTTTTTCTGTTAAATTTTAAAATGTTGAAATAATTTGGGGGAAGACTCTCTCCAACAAAAAGAGAACAACTATAATTTGATATTTTGAAGATAACAAGCACTTCATCGATCAAAGAAGAAATTGACGAAAATATTTGAATCAAATTTTGAAAAAATTGATTACTAAAAATATAAATTAAAGTCCATGTAATTAATTGAGAAAAAAGATAGTAAAAATATAATTTGATATTGTAATAGTAACTGACATGCTATCGCTTAACAAAAACATCGACAAAAGTACCTTGTCAATAGTTTTAAAAAAATCAATAAAGTCAAATAAAAAAATTAAAATCCGTCAATTTGATTGAAAATAAGGTAAAAATGTAATTTTTTATTTTAAAGATAACGAATATATTATCACTGAATCGAGCGATTGATGAAAAATACTTGATTAATAATTTTAAAAATTATTGTATATAAAAAAATCGGTATACGATTGAAAAAAAATGATGTATTTATAATGCATTTATCCCCCCTTGACGTGGTCGTCTAATATTTGAATTCCAGAAGAGATTATAAAAAAAATATTTTATTCTAAATTCACCCGTTCGAATGTTGGGTAAGCCTGCATAAGAATTAATGGAAGAAGATGTCGAGGGGAAAAAAAAGACTCAAGGGAAATTAGCTGGAGGAGGATAAAAGACTTGAGGGAGAAAAAAAAAGGCCCAAATTAGCCCTGCTCGTATGCTTTATTATAGGCCTCCATATCAAACAACAGTAGGCCCAAACATTCTGAAAACACCTATTTAACATCCTCAGGCTTGATTTAGACACCAAAATACCATTTTAAAATAAGATTAAATTAAAGAATTTGAAACATAAGAAATTTTCATTTTTAGTTCTATAATTTTTTTTTTTGGCTCGAAAGCCACCATGAACGACTACTGGGGACCTCTGGGTCAGCAACAATGGGGTGACGGAAACAACCGCCTTCGTCTACAGCAATGCTGTCATAACGAGCAGCTCTTTTCCTCCTAGTTTCCTTCACATTATTTACTTTTACTAGTATTCAAATTATTTAAATTAAGTCAAGATTTCTTCAAAAACTATTAAACTAATTTCATAAATAATAATTATTAAAAAGAACACGATTTTATGAGCACTATAGAAATTTATTAAACTAACTTGAAAACCTTCATATGATTTGAAAAACGATGCCTTGATATGAATTTTTTTATGTATTAATTGAAAAGCAATTAAAAAATTTTCTTCTCATTCATCCACCCCATAAAATAATTATTTTTGATGAATGTTTAAACTTCCATATAAGGTTTCAGCATCGAGAAATATCTTCTAATTGTAAATAAATTTTTTTTCTTGTTCCTTGTTAAAAAGAAATATCTTGTAATAGTGACTTTCGGGGACTGCAGGAAAATTTGACCTTGCTTAGCATAGTACGCTTTCCTTGTTGTTCAGTAGCTAAAGCAGATCTTTTATATCTACATTTCATTCATTAGATTTTGACAGAATGTAGTTACAGAGATTAAATAGATTACTAGAGAGAATAAAATCTAATCTAATAATAGTATTTAAAGTTTAGGATAAACAATTCCATAATAAGTTGACTCTTATATTTACATATATTCTAATGAATCAAAATATAACATAAGAGCAGAGCAAGTTCTTATTACAAGAGAATCACATCACGTTCCTTAAGTAGTAAGTATGGGAGGCATGTAAAGAGATTTGGCACCAAGAATACGGGCTTTTGTGTCGGGGAAGAACTCGGTTCCGGGCAATTCTGTCACAGTTCCTTCGGTGGAAATTGCAATGGGGTAACGGAGCAAATGACCTGGTAGATCATGCTCAAGTGTCTCACTGGAATACAAATCCCAATATTTGTCAGCAATCTGGTTCACCTTCATAACGCAGTCTTCATTTTCTGGATGAAGGAAGGTATCATCCAGCATGCCAAGGTGCTCGTACCATAATCCCAAGCGGAATCCATGGATCTGGCCTCGAGCAGGCTGCCTGGTAGCCAAGTGATATGGTTGGTATCCTCCCATTGCTATTTCAGAGTCCCTGGCACCATCCATGGATCTCTGATTGATGTTGGCAGACCCAATAATTATGTATTCGTCATCAACTGCAAAAGCCATGCGTCAAATCCATGAGATAACCACATGATAAAAATAACAGAAACAAGGCGAAAGGCACAACCAAAATTAACAAAGAAAGCACCATGCATGGATAAAATTAAAATTTACAGTGGGAAAGCAAACTTATTTCTATCTCGTCCATTGAAGATCCTTATTGTAGCCCTGCATAGCCGAGACTTTAGAAATTAAAGAGCAGCATGAGTATCCTCGACATCATCACTAGACGTTTACCTACCGCTAGCTCTTCATGCCTATTAATCATAAAACTAAAAATATCAGTTCCTTTGTGTGATGTGAAACTAGACAAGCAACGGGATTACTGCCAAATACAAAATTGAAGATCTAGATCGAACAAATAGAAAGTTAGCTCATTGATGCTGGCAAGTAAATATTCTGTTAGTTTGCATTGCAAGGCCGACTTGCAGATAATTCTGGCTTACCAATCATCATCTTTGCATGAACGTAAATCATGAAGCGCCTGGCCTCTTGGGCCCTAATGTAATCTGAATCAGGCTCTGGTTTTTCTGAAGGTTCATATTCACCACTTTTCTTCACCTCGCGATTCCCAAGGCAGAAAAATGTCAAGTAGTTCCGAGGATCTTCTTCAAGTCCCTTGGCTCTGAGAGCCTGAACGACGTCTTTATACATCATGTCCATTGTCCTCCTCTGCCAATCTAATATTGCCTGACCTACTCCCTTCTCTGGTATTCCCTCTGGCCACATTGGGACAACAACGTAAACAGTGAACCTCTCCCCAGCCTCAATCTTGCTAACTATCTTGAGTGAAAGCTCCTTTGGAATTACATGCAAAGCATTAATGTCCTCCGGCTTAATGTCATCAGCACTCCAGCCAAAAGAACTCCCAAGAAAATACTGATTCTCGATATAGATGAAATTCTTTGCACGTCGAATAGCATGAATATAGGCATCCTGTATGCTTCGATCAATAATATTATCCTTTCCACTGACAAGCCCAGCTTTGGCTGCAGCTTCAGGTGTCTCTGGGAAACCAAACGCAGCCCCACCATCAATGGATCTAAATAACTGCACATTCCACGTCTCGTGATCATCAGGGAACATAACTGGAGATGGCGGAATGATGACATCTTCCAGTTCTCTCAGTTTAACAAGTATATCTTTACCACCTTGCTTCATCCATCTCTGTTCAAAATTAAACAAGACATCCCAAGCAATAGGTCCCTCGAGCCGGGAATGGATATCATGCCAAGGTTCTCTGGGACCACCTTTTTGAATTGAAGCACCGGTAAAGTTGGGCTGGTGGAAATCATCATGGTGAGCAGTATCCAATGTCCTAAAAAGGGAATGGAAGGGGGTATCGTATCTCCCATCACAAAGATCAATCCCCCCAACAAAACTAACAATTCTCCTCCTCTGGGAATCTCCATTAGGCATTGCACTGTCCACTACCACAATCTTCTGGTGATGAGTAAACATAGTAGAGATTTCCACATCCTGCACAACGCTTCCACCATCATCAGGATTCCGGGGACACAAGACACAGTGCACATCAGTATTCTGGAAGTAGTGCTCAGTTTCTTCATCATGGGTGCCCATCTCTCCTTCGTTTTTCAGCAAACCAACAGAGGTTCTGTCGTTCCAAACGAGCATAAGAACCCTAACGCCTTCACTTGCCTTCTTCTTAAGCAGCTCACCCAGAGTGATGTCTCCACCAGGCTTTGGCCTCCTGGAATCCCTTACCAGACTGATTCCAGTATAAACAGACCAGCCAGTGATGTAGATCATGTGTTTTGCGTTTGTGATTGAATCAAAGACATCTTCCCAGCATCTGTGGGGCTCATAGTACTCTCCTGAAGCAAGAGGGATTTTTGGTATAAATTTGTCTGGTATATGAGCATCTTGGTACAGGGAAACCTTACATCCTTGTCTCTGAGAGTAGAATGTATAAGTTACTCCAGGATATTTTGGACTTCTGATGCCACGGCCCCAGTTACGGTCTTTTGTAACATCAAAGTATTGTAGCTTCACATGGATCTTGGAACCCGCATCAATCGGGTTTTTGTCTCCATCCAATATCTCAACCCATCTATCTATTTCTTCCCCATCTAGGATTTCTTCAACAGGTATATATGCTCTTCCAATCAAGGTTGCGCCAATAGGATTATCATCCTTGACGGTGAAAATAACATTTGAAGCCATATGAGCACAGTAAATGTGAAAAGACTCGTACCATCTGGGGTTGGTTGCTTCATTTTCAAGGATTCTGGTTCTCCCAACTCTAGCCTTTTCTAGATCAATAGTTGCATAGAGTTTGCTGATTCCGTTGCGAAGACCAACCTTCTCCCCAATGTTCTCCACAAGCTACAAGAAGAATCTTTCAATCAGAAACTTGGGAAGAAAGACTGAGCGACCACATAATTCTAACATGAAGAATCACGAGTTAAAAACAAGGACTTTCTAATTGATCTCCTGAACAAGGCATTTTCCCAATTGGATTCCTTCTCTAGAGCAATTGGAATAACTCTTCAGCTCGGGAAAACAGTAAATTCTCAGAACATAGAAATGCTAGGGTGAAAAAAGAACTGAATAGTAATATACATCATTGTTGGACGAAAAGGTTGCTATAATGTTACGAACGGCGGCAAAAGAATTTACCACAGTAAAGAGTAACAATATTATAAAATGGTATGGTATTCAAAAAATTTTAAAAAAAGTGATTAAAAAAACTAAAAAAATAAACAAGCAAGTTGACAAGAGAACTGAATAGCAATATACATCACTATTGGACGAAAAAGGTTGCTATGATGTTACGAAAGGCGGCAAAAGAATTTACCACCGTAAAGAGTAACATTATAAAATGGTATGCCATTCAAAATTTTTTTTTTAAAAAAAGTGATTAAAGAATACTAAAAAATAAAAAAAAGCATGAATGAGCTTGAAAATGTTGCATAAACTTTACACTGAATTATTAAGCAAGAAGTCCAACAATACTGTCTTGAAAAGAATAAATATTTTAAATCAATTTGCAATTAATTCAACAACTTTATACAATTAATGGACAAAAAAAAACACTTGCTAAAACTTCATAGATAAAATGTCATACATCAAACACATAAATAACACTGGATGTTTAATTCGAAAGCAACATAGAAGCAATTTAATTATAAGCGTCAATGCTCGTCCTCACTCACTAAAGGGGCTACACTACAGTACCTAGAAATAATAGTGATAGAAGCAAAACCAAAACGAGTTGACTCAATAAGTAAGACAATATATGCAGCATAAGAAGGGTAAATGCAAAATTCAAAACTTCCTTTAGAGCCAAACAATAGATAAATTCGCATTAATTCAAAAGCAACATTTGTTCTATGCAGAAACTTCCATTCAACACTGGTATAGAAAGGATCAAAACACATTTCTACTACAAGATATGACTTCTTGGTGAGCAGCCATTTAGTTTACCCAAGTGTTTTGCTTTCGGATACTCAAGATCAAGATCTAAAATTTTTATGGTGTTTCAGCATCAGAGACAATAAAGCAAAATATATGTTCTTGAGAGGGTAATGTGTGTAGTGCTAGTTAGCCTCAGTACATAACGTTCTCGTCCTAGGAATGTGACAAGAGAAGCGATTCCAGTGAAAGTAGTCTTTATTTAACTGAATAAATAAGAATCAAGATGGGTTTTTCTCTCACTCCAATCAAAGTTTCAAACAAACATATAGATGTAAGCAAGCCTGGGATGACGAATGTTACAATTGTTCGTTGAGGGTATCTTAAAATTAACACCGTGTTCTCTTATTAAAAAATATATATATATAGTTTTGAATATTTCAAAAGATTATCAAAACTTTTTATCTCACATTACTAAAAAAGAAATATTGCAATTACAAAATTGTTTTATGAGCTTGTAAAACACAAATAAGATAGATTGAACTCACGTACAAACAAGTCAGCTTAAGCTAACACAAAACGATTCATTTACTCCCCCAACACTCAATAATAAGACTCAATCCGAACTCTTTTTTTTAGCTCGTCCATTTAAGTTTTCTAATCTAAACCTAAGTTTATTTAAAATAATATCTATTTTTGCTGTCATAAAATTGATCCATTATGATTGTTTATCGTTTCATATTTTTTATAATGTTCTTTTTTTTCCAACCAAATCAGCCTAAATTAGCTTATAAATACTACTTATAGTGTATTAAACCCACAAATACTCTCTTTCTCTTTGCTTTATCTTTCTTTATTGGGTTATCATTGTTTTTGCTGTTTGTTTTAATTTCGGAATGGTTGATTTTATCTCGAGAATATAAAATAATATCCGAACATCGATCACACAACTTTAATCATTGACTTTCCGTTTCTGTCCTTTTATTTTTTTATTCAACATATATAGCCATATATAATAAAGATCTGTGCCAAAAAATGTAACCAAAATTCAATCCTGTTCAACAAACAAAAAAGCAGTAACAGTGGGATCAGGATCAGCACTCAAAAAACTTGACAAATTCCCAATCAAAAAAAGAAAAGAAAAAAACCTTGTGGAAGAAGCCATGACCACCACCATCGCCAATCTTATCCACCTCATAGATCGTCGCATGTAAAGTCCCGTGCAACAAAATCTGCGCCATTTCTCACCTACACATTACATACATACATGCATAAATATCAACAACTAGATCTTAAAACCAGAATAAAGATGGATCACTTGTATTTAGTTATTCTGTCGTCAAAATGGGGGAAAAAAGTATCAGTAGAATCGAGCTGCTTACTAGTGAATGTTTAAAAAGAATGATGATCTAGTGAACACGAACGGAAAGAGATCACTAATATTTTAATCGAGAAAAAGATAAAGAGGGAGAGAATCCAAGGTGGCCAATGAGATTTTGGGATCTTATCCGAATTACATGTGCTCTTGGTATATGATATCAATCCTAAGCTATCATGGTAGAGAAAGGGAGTGAGAAAGAGAGATAGTGGAGAGGCATGCAAGCTCTGAAAAGACGCGCATGGTGGACAAGAGGCAATTGTGGTAAGAGATTTTCTTTTATCTCTTTTCCTTTTTTTTTTTTTTTGGTTGTTTTTGGATTTCTTGCTCTCTCCCTGCTTGAATTTGCACTTCTAGCCCACCTAGTTTCTTCATGAGAGTATTTATCAGTGACTGCAGCTCTCTACTATATCGTAAAAGAATTTATTAAAATTTTCATAATGCATGATATTAATATAAAAAAATATTTTTAAACCATAAAAAATATTTAATTTATATTATATATGTTTTTAACATATTAATTGATTTGAAAATATCCATTGCCATTGAATAATAAAAAAAAACGTTATAAATAACTCAAAAAAATGTGTTTGGTAATTGGTAGTGATGATTGAGTTTCTTTCCTTTTTTGTTTTAGCATATCAATAGTTATTTATTAAACCAAAGACCACAGAAATCTCCTTTATCAGATTTTGAAAATGGAAAATAGGTGTATAAATTAAAATTGTAAAACAAATATTATTTTTAGAATAGTAATAAAAAATAGGAATAAAAATTTAAAATTTTAATTATTTTAACAAATAAAAATAATGATTAAAAAAATAATTTCATCAACGGATATGATGATGGTAACAAAAACAATAGAGTTGATTGCAATGATGAGTAGTGATAATAATTATATAATAATATCAATAATATATTTTAAAATTAATTGTTGTTATAGTATATAGTTGTAACAGTGGAAACAAATGACAATGATAGTGATATTATAAGTGTGATGTATGGCAGTGAAAGAAGAAAAATGTTAACAAGATAATAATAATATTTTATTATTATTTTTGTGAATGACAGCAAAAGTGTCAATAATAGTAAAAATAATTAATAAACAATAAATAAAAATAATATATCATTAATTTAAAAAAATAAAAATTTATTGTTTTTTTTATTCTCGCTTTTATGTAAAAATGAAACTATGAAACTATGTTTCATTTTTATTATTTATTTTCATTTATACTTTATTGTTTTTAATCGAAACCTTTAACGCAAAGATAAAATTTTTATTCACTTTCTCACTATTTTATTTTTTATTATCAATCAACACAACAGATAATAAGATCATGCTCCTATAATTGTGGGAACAAAATTGAAATTTTACAAAATATGGACACAATATATTACAATTACAAATTATATTAAAAAAAAAATACTAAAATCGGTGGTGATATTCCTATTCCTAGACAGTTCAGAAACTCAAGCAACCGTAGATTATCAATCAACTGCACTTTTTAGCTTTTTTGCATGCATTTGGATCATTCGTTTGGTGGTGTGCGTGGCCCGCATTGCTTGATGCGCACGATCTCCATCTCCATCTGTTCCTTCTAATATGTTTTAAAATGTATTTTTCATTTGCTTTTTTTTTTTTTCATTTCTTTCTTAGAATTTGTGCAAGACAAGATGGTTTTTTTTTTTTTTTTTTATTTTTTTCTTTTTTATGCCTTTTGTTCTTACGTTATATTACCTATTTGGCTATTTGCGCCTCCATTTGTTTCCCTTCATTCCTATCTTTTTTTTTAACCCTCTTCGCAGGTTTCTTTTCTTTTTCCAGCATTTAATGCGGACAATCATTGATCTATGTGATCTATTGTCTATATGCGCACATTTTTGTTTGCTCTGTCCGTTTCTTCTCTAATATTTATGCTTTATTTAAAAAATAATTTTCTCTTGGACCAAGAGAAAATATTCATCTATTAATATTTATAAAGATTTTTAAATTATTTTTTTATACAACGTTATGAAAAAATGATAAAATACTTTTAAAATTTTAGATTATATTTTTTATTTAAATTATTATAAATTTTTACTTAAAAATTAATATAAAATAAAGAAAAAATTGTGTTTCTTTAACTACTAAATTTATAAACAAACTATACAGAAAAATAAATTAAATACACAATTTTGATTAAGATTTTTAAAATTTAATGTTTTTTTATTTTTAATCTAAGATATTTTAATAAATTTATGACATAATGTAAATTATTAAACTAAAATAATTTTTTAAATCAATTTGATTCATTATGTTTGATACATAACATAACGTTCTAACTATTTGGCGTAAAAAAAAAAAGAAGAAGAAGAAGAAAAGCTGACGTAAAGATATTATGGGTTCACGTGGCCATAAATGAACAAACGCAGGTCCCACAGTATTTTCCTCGTATTACGAAAAGCTTGCGATTCAGTTATTTGTCAGCTCCCATCAACGGTAATTTTAAACCTCAATCGCCCAATCATCTTCTAACGGATGGGGTGGTGCATTGCAAGAGGGACAGGGACATTTTAGACAAAGCACAAAAGCTCAAAGCGAACCAAAAGGGAAAGCTAAGGAAGGATGATCATAAGCTCCTTTTTGCCTTATATATATATATATATATATATATATATATATATATATATATATATATATATAATAATAATAAAAAAGAAAAGAAATTTGGGCTTTTTAAACTCTTTTGTGATGCTTTTAGCCTTTTTGCTGTGAGATTGAGGTTTGCATTTTTGATAAAACACTAATGATATTGATAAAAATATATATTCTGGAAAGATTTGTTAGAAAATAAGAAAATTTTTAGAATACAATAATAATTAGTTTTTGAAAGAAAGAAGTAGTGGTTTAGTTGAGATCCAAGGGGTTATGATGAGGGGAGAAAAGTAGTGGTTAAGTTGAGATCCAAGGGGTTATGATGAGAGGAGAGGTCACCTAAAAAAAACTTGATCTTTGATTGGATGCTTTATAACGAGGGAAGAATGGGAGTGGGAATCCCACTGTGGGATGGAGATGTCGTAACACCCCCCCCCCCAACAAATGACTTGGCAACATACTTGCACGCCACATGTGATTTTTTTCTTTTTTTAATAATTTTTATGAGTTGTTCTTTCTTTATCATTATTATTATTTAATTTAGTTGTTCTTGAGGGTGAAAAACGAGGACGGTTGGTGTTTAACATTTTGGATAAATTAATTAATTAAATAATTAAATCTTTTTTTTTTTGAAAATGTACATTAATTGGTAAATAAATATGTTTATGACGGGGTAATTTGGATATTAATTTTTTCAATCAAGTATATAGATTTTAACTTTTTTATTTGAATGTATTAATTTTTTCAAAACCGTTGCTTAAATATTTAGATTTTTTTTTAGTGTATTAATTTTTTTAAAATTGTCAATTAAGTATTTGTGTTAATTTCTTCGTTAACTAATGGTATGTCTATAACCCCATGAAATGCCAAATTACAATTTTTTTTCTCAATCGAGTGCACGAGACTTCAATCTTTTTTGTTTGAGTACGTCATTTTTAAAAAAAAAAGATTTATAAAATCAAATATTTTAATCAATTTCTCAATTAATTGGTAATGTTTTCGTTATCCTTATCCTTAGAATATCAAATTATAATTTTGTTCTCTTTTTGTTTAAGGGAACCTTCCCCCCAAATGCTCACAAGCAACGAATCTTGTTGAAAAAAAATGTTTTTCTTTAATTTTCACCTATAAACCTAGTTAAGCTTATTTCAAAATTTTAGAGCTAAAAAATAATGTTTTTTCTTATTTTCTTTATTAAATTTTAAAATGTTAGAACAATTTGGGGGTAGACTCTCTCGAACAAAAAGTGAAAAAATTGCAATTTGATATTTTAAAGTTAACGAACACTTTATTAGTTAAAAAAGAAATTGACGAAAATATTTGATTCAGAATTTTTTTGAAAAAAAATAAACATACTAAAAAAATAAATTAAAGTCCATGTAATTAATTGAGAAAAAGAGAGAAAAATATAATTTGATATTGTAAAAATAATTGACACATTATCTATTAACGGATACATTGATAAAAATATTTGATTGATAGTTTTAAAATTGATATACTAGAAAAAATAAAAAAATCTATGTATTTGATTGAAAAAGAAAAGAAGAAATGTAATTTGTTATTTTAAAGATAATGAATATATTATTATTTAACGGATAGATCGATGAAAATACTTGATCGATAGTTTTAAAAATTATCATATATAAAAAAATCCATATAAAATTTTTTAAAAATTAAAAATTGATATATTTATAATGCATTCATCCCACTTTGACGTGGCCATCTAAACTTTGAATTCCAGAAGAGATTATTAAAAAAAAAAAAAAATTCTAAATTCACCCGTTCGAATGTTGGGTAAAGCCTGCATAAGAATTATGGAAGAAAATCTTAGACTCCACCCATGGAAATTAGCTGGAGGAGGATAAAAGACTTGAGGGATAAAAAAAGAAAAGAAAAAAGAGCAGGCCCAAATTAGGCCCGGTCGTATACTTAATTATAGGCCTCCATATCCAACCACAACAGGGCCAAACAGTCTGCTTAACACTTGTTTAACATCGTCAGTCTCGATTTAAGAACCAAAATACCATTTTAATATAAAATTAAATTATAGAATTTGACCTCGTGTAGTATAGTACGCTTTCCTTGTTGTTCGGTAGCGTTGGAGTTTTTGTTGAAAGTCCACGATTATGCCTCATCGGACGTGTCAATTTATATATTACCGATATAAATATCTTATTTTTTAAAAAAATTAAAGTTATATATATATATATATATACACATACTTGAAACTCAATCACTGAAAAACCAGAAGCTAACAAAAAAAACTTAAGACAACAAGTCCAAAAACGCAAGAATTAGATTACTCCAAAAACACATATTGATCATTGAAACCATAAGGTTTAAATCAATTTAGATAATTAAGTTTTCATCAACCTATAAACACATGTTTCCATCAACTTATAAATACGTGTTCTCATCCAATAAACTCAATATTTAGACCAAATAATATACGAAGTTTATATTGAAATTAATTATATGAGAGTTTAACTATATAGTTAAATCAATTAAGATAATTATAGAAATTTATATAGTTTAACTATATATGAGAGTTTCCATAAAGCAAAGTACTTGCAAACTAAATAAAAAAAACATCAAATCAATTATAAGGGATACAAAGCAATCGAATAAACTTAAAAGTAAGTAAAGAAAGCATGTATTAAAAGCATTAAATATAATATAAAAGTAAAGTACAGAGCCAAAAAATAAAATTATGGGAAATACATTGCCAGAGACAAATTGCATGAAAACCTGAGAAAATTTACGATGAAATGGTATATCTAGGTACGTCAGAAAAAATACGTTGAATTATGCTTTTTTAAACACTATTGTAAGACCTAAATTTACTTGTAATACAAGCAAAAAAAAAAAAAAAAAAAAGGCCTAGGAGTTCATTCCTAACTAGATATATATATATATATATATATATATATATGCATATTGATCAGAATAAATATCGATATCCAAATCAGAAAAAAAAAAATTACAGAGAATGTAACTCTGAATCCTTTACAAAGACTAAATAAAAAAAATCTTGAATTAGAGAGTATGTAGAATCTTTTAAAATTATCTCGATCATAAAACCTTTTCAGTCTAAAAGAATAGAATTAATATCGACTGTGTTGGATAAAACAACTTCTTTGAATATCAATTGTACCGATTATCAGTTTCTCATTAAAATTTTTTTTTTTTAATGGTTGATTTTTAAGCTTCTACATAAGCTTTCAATATTCCAAAATATGTTTTAATAGTGATTAATTTTTTATTGTTCTTGTTAAAAAACGCAAACCTTTTATTTTTTACATTTCCGTTCATTTTTAGCTTCCTTCTTTTCCTTCTCAATATTATAAAAAAAATCAATGACCGGATTCGAATCAAACATATAAAAGAGATAATATGTCATTTACTTTGATAACCATTGAAATATTAAAATTATTGTGGAAAGTCTTATCAGATCCCAAACTATTTTTCATCTCAATCAGGTCCCTAATATATCAATGCATTATCAATCAGGTCCTTTCATTAGTTTCAGTTAAAATAACTATTAAGCGATTACTCGAAACTCACATAATTTCTTGTTTCTGATGAAAACGTAACGCATGAATTTACTAAAATTTCATTGTTCAAGTGATAAAACAAACTATATATGTTTTTTTTAAAAAAAGCCTTTACGTGTCTTTTTTATTACGTGAATTTCACGTAATACAAAACGAGAAATCTTAAGAAATCTGATGGTTTTGAATAAAAAAAATATATCATGCAAGTTTCGAATGATTTTGCTGGCTAATATATATTTTTTTCCAACAGTATTTTGGGATCCTTGCTAGATCCTATACCTAACAAAGAATTTCTATTGCCGGCCTCGATGATAGAAGCAGTTGCGAGTTCGAAATAATTTTTTATTTTTGCCATCCTTTTTTCAAGAGCACATTCCAACCAACTCCCAAAATATATAAATTTGAAGAGGAAGGAGTACAATTTCAGCATATATAGATAATTCTTTCTTTTTTGAGATCCTTTTTCTTGCTAGTAGTCCAGACATAAAAGTTATTTTCATCTTTCTCCAAGGATAATTTAGTCAAATCAAATATTTCTATTAAAAATATGTATATATATATATATATATATATATAGTTTGGATTTTTTTTTTGAATTAAATGAAAAATCAATAGTAGAAATAGCATTAATTTGTTGATGGACTGCTACAAGAAGAAGAACAAAAATAGAAAGAAAGAAAGAAACGCGGGCGACATTATGAAAGGCCTAATCAGTCAGTGACAATAATGAATAGTCCACTCCTTAATAATTTTTTAAAAAATTAGTCTATATATTTAATAGTTTTTCAAATAAGTCCTCAATGATAAGTTTTTATCCTCATTTTTTCCGATTAAAAATATTAGGTCCTTTTTATATATTTTTTGTTTACAATTAGGTCCTTATATGTAATTTAGATGACAGTATTACCATCTTTATACGTAAATAAGACAGAGTTAGACATGAAATTAATACCATCTCTTCGAAAAATCCATATTAATGAGATTCTGACCGAACATCAAATTGAATGAGCCATCTACTTATCATGTGAACCAACTCATCAACACTTGCCTACTCTCTCAGACTCTCCCAATGATGGTCTCCAGCTTGCACTAGGAATTGACAGTAAATGCAGAAGTCGCTGTACTACTGCGTTCCAATTAATTCAAACACAATAACAAGCCAACATCTGCCATGTACTTCAAAGATCATTGCTTAGCATAACTAAAAATGTCCACGTGCAAGCCATCCGAGCTCCATTTTCGTATTTTTGACTTGTAGCAATGCAACTGCAACCAGATGTTGCATTAATGTGATCACAAGCCTATACGGGTGTCGTTTTCGGTGGCCCTTCTTTATTACACGGTACAAACTTCTTTGCCATGTTCTTGAAGCTGCCACTTTCACAAAAGCAGTGAACACGTACAAGATATTCTCTTCTAGAATTAAAAACCTGACGACATTTTCCAAGTTTAATTGTAATTTATAATTTACGTACGATCATAAAGTATGAAACGAAGGAGATGAGCAAATCTCTAAACTCTAACGAAAGGGAGATCCAGCTCGCACGTCCTCTGAACTAGGATGAAAAATGAAAGCACGAGAAAGCTAATTAAGGAAGACAATGGAAAGTAAATGGTAAAGCATGGAGATAGGGCTTTCTCTGTTTACATTGAAAAGTTAAACTTGTCGCTAACCCATCTTGGACCAAACAACACTGCCGTGTGAGAAGATGGCTTCAAATCCAGGACATTTGGCATAAGACTTATTTAAAGAGAAAATCATACTTACAAATCAAATCTAAAAAGATCAGGTCTTGATTGTAGAAATTAAAAAAAAAGTCGAAAAAATTTCATTCATATAAAATAAAATAAGAAAAAAATCTAATAAAAAGGATCGCTGCTGGCTTTGTGTAGGGATTATGCTGCCAAAATCACATGCGAATTAAATCCAACAAGCTTTCTTCTTCTTTTTTTTTTTTTTTGATAGAAAGATATATTAAAAAGGATAATATTAGATATACTTTATTTTTTACCAAAATTCTTGTACTAAATGATTTGACATCACATAATTAGTGATTCATTAGTTAACACATACATTCTATAATTATCAATGGATCACTAAATGTGATAAGATTTACATTTTATTTTTTAAAAAATATTTTCACGAGACAAATGCAAAATCACTGAATAAAAAAGATTTTGTAAAAAATTAAGAATCTACAACATTATTCTTGTTAAAAATCAGGCATAAACTTAAGGTTAGTTATAGACACGCACATGCAGTTCACACAATATTTAAATGTGCAATATAATGTAGTTTTGATTTTGAAACAAATATAAAATAAATCATTGGAACATTGTACTAATTTAATTTTTAATTTTAATTTTAGGATTATTAATTTTCTTTTCCTTTAAAATAAAATTTTGGTTAACTGGCATTAAAATGATAATAAATATTTAAAATTGCTTGTTTATGAATAAAAAATAAATTTGAGCTTATGATAGGGTAATTTAGACATAAATGATGTTTGCGGAATGTTTTCTTAAACATGGAGGGGTTTTTAACATATCACCAAATTTTTAGATAATGTTTGTTATTTCTTACAAGTGTTATAAAAGAAATAGAAATAATAGGAGAATTAAAGAGAAAAATGATGAAGAAATTATTTCACTATAAAGAGAATATAAGAGATAACAACTCTAAACAATTCTCACAATCTCTATAAAATACTTGTACACCAACTAATGAACAATCAAGCCTATTTATAGGCTTCAAATTTGAGAAAAGAATTGAAATGGACTATGAATAATCAATTGCATCATCATTTCAATTTCTCATATTGAATGATGAATTGAATCATATTAAGAATCATAAGTAGTGAGGATATGAAAAGTAGATGAACATGACGATGAACATTTATTATTTTATAACAACAAGGTTATTATAATTTATCCCAAATAAAACCTCGTGTGGTAAATCTATATTCATGAATTTAATTTTGGTTAATTTTCCCAAATAGCAAGTTAGGGATGCATAAAAAAAATATTTTACTTAAGGATAAAATTGCATATATTAAAGGATTGACACATGACGCCTGATTATTGAATTTTGAAAAGGAGCTAAAGGAATGAAAAAGTAAAAAAAAATAAAAAAATCAGGTCTTTTTTTCTTAGTTAATTTGTACCAGGTTAATTTTTGTAAGCCCAAAAAGAAAATCAAATTAAATAAGGAGTGGAAACACAAGAACGAAAATCACATAAATTGTTCTACAAAAATAGGTAATATTAGAAATTTTTCTGATGTACACCAAACACCAAAAATATCTTATAAATTATTTTTTTATGAAACAACGAAATATTATAAATAATTATTTAAAAATTTTTTTTCAAAATTTGGTTTATACAAAATTTATTTCCCAAATCAGAATTCCATTTTACAGCAAACAAATGGAGCCTTTATTTGCTAGATTAAGTTTAAATTAAAACTATGTTTGCAATGTAATATAATAGTTTGAGTCTATAAAGTTGATTAAGATGCATGGGAATGAGAGAACTTATTCGGCCTAAAATTTTATATTCCAGTTCAGCTATTAGCTTTATATATATATATATATATATATCTAATAATAATCTCATTTTTCGTAAATACCATAAACTCAGCTTTAAAATAGGCAAATTAGGATCCTTCCAACTACGTAATACAAAAGACACAACCATTGATGTATCATAAACTTGATTGTACACCCATTTTAATATATATATATATATATATATATATATTAAAAGTACTCTAATTTAATCCATATCGCCAACAAAATGATGAGCCATAAAATTAGCTAACAAACAACATGTCAAAACACATATTTTATATTAAATAGTCAAAAAAAAGATAAGTGATATATAAAGTTGAGAATATGCCATATACCATAAGACTTTAAGTTTTTTAAATGAAATCCAATTTCAATTATCTAATTCTATATGGTATTAAAGCTTCAAAAAATCTCAATGAACAAGTAAAGATTTTGAAGTCTAAATTATTTGACAGACTTTAAAAAATAGATTGTAAGTACTCGAGAGAGAGATATATATAAAACACATATTTTATATTGAATAGTTAAAGAAAATATGAATAATATATAAAATTGAGGAGGGACTACTCACTATAAGATTTAAGTTTTTTAAATGTAATTCAATCTCATTTGTCTAACTTTATAATCAAATTTTGACTTTGTGTACTTCGAAGAAACGTAGGATTTGATATATATATATATATATATATATAATCTGAAAAAAAAGAAAGAGAGAAGTTGTATTGGTAAATATTGTTAAGTTACAATTTCACCAGCTATATTAGGTTGTACGAAACGCATGGCTTTAATTAATTTGTAGAATCTACTGGTACAAAAACCTTACACACAAATATAAACATACGTGCTTCTAGCTTTAGTTCGTATGTAGTAGCATGGAATTCGTAATTTAAATGTCGCATAATATTCTTGCTTGCAGCATCTAGATTGTTATACTTAAAATTCATATTAAGCCTAAAAGTTAATAATTTGATTTCAGATAAAAATACTTTCAGTTAATTTATTGAGTGATTTTTTTGGATCATTAGTTTATTAGGTGATTGATTTGTTTGGACCAAAAATACTTACTAATTGTTATACCCGGTGACTCCAATTCGTAAATAAAAAACCATAAAATCTAAACAATAGCAATTAGATTTATTTTTTTGGAGTCCTGTTCGATATCGGATAGCGACACTAATAATAAGTTATAAGAAGATAAATAGGAGAGACAATTTTCCTAACAATCAAGAAAGAAAGTGAAACACAATAATAACATTTATAAAAGAATATGGAGCACTATCACAATACTTACAAAGCAACGTGGAACCTTGCAAAGTAGTGTAAGAAGTTGCAGATGAATGTGAAGCATTGTAATACTGCATATGTATGCAGTTGCAAATGAATGCAGAGCATTGCAAGACTATTTGGCTGTTGTAAAGAAATGTAGAACACTACAAAAAATCATGAAGGAGTTAGAAGTTTATGAATACAAGCTGTAGCAAAAAAAAAAAAAAAAAAAAAACAACAACACAATAGCGTACAAATAAACTCAATTTGCAATTTGCAAACATCGCAAAAAATATTATCTCAAGTTTCAATACTCTTGATTTGCAAACTATAATCCTATAGGCAGTAATTTACAGATAATAATCAAGTAAGTTGATAACTTGTAGGCTAATAATTTGGTTTTTGACTATCATTTTGTATCCATAACTTGTGATCATGATTCTTCAAAGTTGAATTTTTGAGAAATTATTATGTTTGGAACACTAATTTGTAAGTAGTCTCTATCATTGGTGAATGTAAGTCTTCGTTTGGACTTTGTATATTGTTAAGAACTTAAGATCATAACCTTAATTCTAACGTATAAGTTGTTTGATTTCAAATTTTTTAAGTTTGAATGCATAATTTTGATTACAAATTAGCTAGTTTGAGAAATCTGAATTTTTAAGTTGAAATAATCATTTTTGTAAGTAATTATGCTTGCAATCCAACTAGTCTATGCAGATTGCAGGTCTCTCTAAAGTTTACAAATTGATTATAACTTGTTTTATTTAATTTTAATTTGAAAATTCCAAAAAACACCTTTCAAATTGGATAGAAAATACTTAAGATAGTTAATTAAAGTTTTTAGATTTTAAGTCTGGAGATTAGACGGCATTGTAGACCACCATCCATCCCTTTTTTTTTTTTTAATTCTTTTATCATAAATTCAGCTTAATTGAGAGAAAAAAAAAAAAACCGCAAAACTAGTATACATACATACATATATATCACACACACACGCAGAATCAGCTGTCAACTTCCTTTTCCAATGGACTGAGGCATCGCCAGGCAGACCATTTGGGGCCACAACGCCAAAGATCATTGATCATAACTTTGTTATAATTAAATTCATGGGCGGTTTATTATTAGATACGCCTAGGTCATTTGCATGAAATTGTCCTTTCTGCGTCTCCAATTTTCCAAGTTATAGCTAGAGGCCGGTAGAGACATAGAGTGGTGTGATGCAAATTATGGCCTACACATGCAGCTGCTAATGGAAAACAGAAGGCGACCCTTCAATTCTAGGGTTTATTATTGACGCTACCTGACCCAAAATCCAAACAGTAAATTATAGCCCATGCAATTACTAGCTAGCTCGCCCACACCACAGGATATAACTCTCTTATACTGTATATATCAAGATCACTTCATCCATAGGATTTGATCTGGTCAAGGGAAATCACAATAAGACTAACAGTCTGTTCTTCACATCATGGTACAATCAAAGAAGTTCAGAGGTGTCAGGCAACGCCACTGGGGCTCATGGGTCTCTGAGATTCGTCATCCTTTACTGTACTGCTTTTGTTTTTTATGTTTTTCAACTAACTATATTATCTATCTATTGATTCATCTTTTTAACGTCACAGCTTTTGGCCCTGTACTGGTTTTCTTCTTTATTTGTAGCCTTAAACTTTCGTTGGTCGTTCTTACAGAAAGAGAAGGGTGTGGCTTGGAACATTTGAGACAGCTGAAGAGGCAGCAAAAGCCTACGATGACGCAGCGATTTTGATGAGTGGTCGCAACGCCAAAACAAACTTCCCTGTGATTGCAAATGATGAAACAAGAAATAATCAGAATTCCTCCTCCGCATCAGCTCTTACTGCAAAGCTACGCAAATATTGCAAATCTCCATATCCTTCTCTAACTTGTCTAAGGCTTGACACTGAGAATTGTCACATTGGAGTCTGGCAAAAGCGTGCTGGTCCGCGTTCGGTTTCAAATTGGGTTATGACTGTGGAGCTTGGAAAGAAGGATGGACTTCAAGCCCCAGAACAAAAAATTCCCATCTCCGCAGAGACAACAGAAATAAGGGCAGGGCAAGAAGGTGGTAGTGATGGTTTGGACGACGAGGAAAGGGTTGCATTGCAGATGATTGAGGAACTACTTAACAGGAATTAACTTCTTATGTTCATCATCATATACACATATATATGTGGTTTTCGCCAGTGAAATTTGGAGCTAATGATTTATCCCATGTGAAAGTTCTTGTAAAATAATTGCATTGTGTTCTTTTGCGCAAAGTAGGGTTCATTGATTTGGGTTCAGCAGGGCTAGTATTACTTGATGTTGTTTAAATATATAAATGTCTTTTCTTAATTTTGTAGCTTTTTTTTTTTTTTTTTGAGGTATATTTCTTGATGTTACAAAATCCCTTCTTTTTGAGTTCTAGATGATGATATGGAGAAAAAAATCTACAAAAAACACCGCAAGAGTAAAGATGATTAAAATAAATCAGAGTAAATTATTCATTAGTTCCCGAGTTATGAATGCAATTATAACTTTAGTCCTTCATGTTTGAAAATTTATACCTTAATCCCCTGATTCGTGTTGATATTTCTCTTCTTAAAATTTCTTAGTTTTTCTCTAAGCCTAATTCACTATGTTGGCTCTCTAATAATTGTAAGATTATAAAAGCGCATAATTGAGATTTGCAAAAACTCCAAAATATGCTTCAATAATAAAACGGCCAACAAGAATTAAGAGATTAAATTACAAGTTTTGTAAACATTAGGGACTAAATTAACCTTAGTAATAAAGAATCATTAACTCGATCAATTGACTTTAGATACGACGAAAATCAATCAATGCTAGCCAAAAGCATATTCTTACACAGTTAGATGTGGCAATTATTATAATCACGTTGGAGGCACTGAACAAAAGTGGGTAAAAGAGACTTCCATATCATATAGATATATAGTAACAGCTGAATACATGCGTTGATTGCTAAATTGGAGTAAATTATAAATCAGTCCCTCGATTGTTTAAAAAAAATTAAATAATTTTTCTAGTTTCAATAACTAATTAATTAATTACTATTTTTTAAAAATTTATTTATAACGTAATCATTTTATTTTGGTAAAACATACTTCATATAAGAAAAAAAATCATAATTGACCCTCGACTTTATAATGGCAATAACGACTTAAGCATTAATGATTCATCTAGAAAAGGTTGAAGCATTAATGTTCATCTTGATGAATAAGGGCTTAAAATGACTCATCGCCAAGGCCCAAGGGTTTGTATAATTCATAATTGTTCAAAATAGGATAGTCAATTTGTGGGTTGTTTTAGATAAAATTATTTAACCATTCCTTTAGAGGTTTATTTTTTTATTAGATAATAGTTGTATTTCAAATTAGTTTACACGAAAACCGTTTTTTTTTCAAAAGATTTTAAATAAGTATTCATTGCATCACTAATTTAATGTATTTAGATGAGTGCTAGCTCTAAAAATTTGAAAAATTAAAGAAGAGAACAAATTTAATCTTCAAACTAATATGATAATTTTTTGATTGATTGAGGTTCAAGAATACCGAAAATTGCCCTATGCTTAATTTATGCAATCTTCACTGCCATTGTTTTGTTTTGTTTTGTTTTATTATTATTATTTTTTTTTGTGTATAACGAATAAATAAGAAAGACTAAAATATTTAGAAGATCTTCAAGAATAACGTATCTTTTAGCAATGAGATTTGCACAAGCATTAACACATAAATTAAAATGAAAATATTTCTTATCATCGAATAAAAGAACTAAATTAATTTGAACGCAAAAATTACATATTTAGTCTTGAATTAAAGTCGTACCCTCCTTTTGGGGGTGAAGAAAAGAAAATATAAGAAAAAGGGTAATATATAAAACAAACTAAAATACATGGAGCATAATGCTAGATAGAAAAAGGGTAATATATAAAACAAACTAAAATACAGGGAGCATAATGCTAAATTCAAAACTATACACCAGTTTTGGTGCTCCTTTAAACGCAAATCGCAACAGAAGGAAAGAAGAGGAAGAGAAGAGACGAGAAAAGAAAAGGGACAAAAAAATTATCAAAAAAAGAAAAATGATACTTGCAGTGTTGTTCGCAAATGTTGAAGGCAACATCTTAATCGAACGGTACGCGTAATAATCTGAATCACTCACATCGGATCAATATTTTGAGCTTCTGTTTCATTTTTTTTATCGATCTTCTTCTCTGGGCTCCTATATATATATATTTTTTATAACGATGTTTCTCTGATTTTGTTGCTTTGATTTGGTGAAATTTGAATGGATTTATGCTTCTTTTTTTTGTTCTGGGTTTACATTTTTTTAGTGGACGGTGCGATTTCTGTATTTTTCTGGGAGTCTTTTTTGTGTTGTTGTTGTTGTAAGTTGGGAAACTGTAAATGATTGGGATTCAAAGTAGTCTGGTGCTATTGCTTCTGATCTCATGACGTCCACCGGAAACCATTTGAAAGAGAAAAAATGTGTTTTCAGCTGCTCTTGTGGATTTTAAATTTCAATTGACAAGAGAGTTAGGTCTAGTTTTGTATACTCGCATTTCAACTTCTCTTCATATGATAGTTTGGTTGATTGTGTTAATTTAAGTGTTTTAAGCGTTGAAGTCTAATATTGTTGCAGGTTTAGTGGAGTTCCAGCTGAGGAACGGTTGCATTGGAGATCTTTCTTGGTTAAGCTGGGGGCAGATAATCTTAAAGGTGTAAGAAATGAGGAGCTGCTTGTTGCATCTCACAAGTACGTATAACCTCTCTTATTCAAGAAGTATCCATTATATACAACACAATTTGTGTATGGAAAATCTTTTTAGACCCTTTCTGATGTTTAAATTGAGCTGTCGACTTAATATGTATCTCATGTATTACTTGTGCATCGAATATAGATTGCATCTGTTGTGTACTGGCTGGTTGATTAATCTTCAGTTCCCATATCCTTGTGCTCATTTTCCTTCAAATGTTGGGTTTTTGTTTTCAATATATTTGCTGATGGCCAAAAGCAAACTGGGAAAACTGCTGTAAAAGGTGGCTGATGCTACCTATTATGTTTTGGAAAAATTCTCATTTTCTTAAAAGTCATGCAAATCGTATCACAAGAGCTGGATCTCTGCATCATCTTCAAAATGTTAGTTCATTACAGCTGAAGAGATGATACTTCAACAACTGTTGTTTTTTTTTTTTTTTTTAACGGATAGATTGGAAAATTGACCTATTAAACTAAGGACAAGTGAGGGTATTAACCAATTATTTTATGGAGAAAAGTAGATCCCAAAAATTTAAGTTGCAGTGTTGGCATGGACTATTCCTTGTTCATCTACTTTTTGTAATAGTATACAATTGTAATATCTTTAGAAGTTGCATGACACCGATTTCTAAATTTTTGGATAATTTTACTCGGGATTGTTTTTCATTTTACTGAATTACTCTTGAAGTACTGTTCTATTTTCTTTTCAGGTCAGTTTATATTGTTTACACAGTGCTTGGAGATGTCAGCATTTTTGTTGTTGGCAAAGATGAGTATGATGAACTTGCATGTAAGTTAAATCATTATCTTTAAATATTCTATACTTGTTTGTGTTAGGATGTGAGGTAATTCTTCTTGATACAGAGATAATTATGAGGTTGACTATTATCCAGCTTGGGAGACCCTTGGCTAAATCTTTTAGTTCAAGTGTCTTCCTATCAGAGCATCAGTTTCTTCCTTTCATGACATAAAACTTCTGAGGTCCGTGCCCAGTTTGTGCTTAGCCTGTCATCGATCACAGCCTACCATTACCTTCCAGTAGAATGAAATGTTGGTTCCATTCTTTTCACTAAAAACTAATAAAAATAGTATAAATGACACCTTAGATTCCTCTGTTGACGGTGGCATCTGTTTGGTCTGTGGATGTCATCTGTGCTGTAAGTGCTGGTGAATAGCAATTGATTGTGAAGGCATTGAACCTCTTATGTGATTGATTGTATGGTTGATGTGTCTTTCTCTGTTTCTCATCTCTGGATGGTTTCTTATTAGTGGCAGAAGTCATCTTTGCTATAACGTCAGCATTAAAGGATGTATGCGGGAAGCCTCCTACCGAGCGCCTCTTCCTTGACAAGTATGGAAAAATATGCTTGTGCCTGGATGAAATTGTTTGGAAGGTAAGCTGCTAAAGTATGGTTCTCTTATCTTTAAAACTGCTGAGAAACTTGAAACGTTCCAAGGTATATTTCGGTGGTTTGTTCATCCTGAACAAGAAATCTCATATATTGATTCGTAAAATCTTGATCACGAGTGTGTTTGCTGTTGCAACCACTGTACAATATTTACTAGTCTGTTTTTTGTTTAAAGCCTGCAATCGCTGCAAACTTTAATGTTTGAGAAAAGTGCAAAAAGTACTTGTGGTTTAGTAGATTCCTGTCATTGTTTATTTATTTGACATTTAGTAATTGTTTTAATAGTCTGACATGAATGCAATTTGAGATCTCCATGAATATCCAATGAAATGGAGAGTGAGGTGTCAATAAAATCTTAAACTTAGGATATTGACGTGCAATCTATTTGAAGTCAGAATGCAAGCGGCATTCATGCAAGATGTTCAATATAGACTTTGCTGCCTGTTATTTTTAGACTTATTTAAACACTTATTTAATTCACATACTTTGCAGGGACTGCTGGAGAACACAGACAAAGACAGAGTTCGAAGGCTAACGAGATTAAAACCCCCAACAGAGTTCTGAGTCTGAAAGCTCTTAGCAGCAACCAGCTAAATGGAGATTGTAAAAGTCTTGGTTGTTTGTGTCCAATGGAAGCGCTTCGAATCTTTACGTGTAACTGAGTGGCAATATTTTATTGATTCCTGCTATGTTTTTGCTGAACCGTTGGAGGCAATTGTATCATGTTTTAGATCCAGGGTGTTAGATCTTTATTTTTATTTTTTAATTTTCATGATCTGACAATATAAAATTTTCGAGATCAATGTTTCATTGGACATCTGGGAATGCCACAAAACTGTCCAAAGAGATAGCAGGATGGTTGTTGTACTTCTAAGATATCTGCATACCTTATATTGTACAATGTATCAAACATATCGAAAATAATTCTGGGAGATAATAGAATTTTTTGTTGATCACTGTAATTGTATAATCTTTGGTCAGCTTATCTTCTTTTCTTCAGCTTGGTTCATACAATGTTATGCAAGGTTTTCTGATTGAGAAAGAGAAGTGACTTATGAGGCTGTTCTGCATTATAGAAATTAGCATTCCAGGCAGAGTACAAACAAATAACTCTGGATTTCGAATCTCTTGATTATCTAGTAAACCATTATAGTAGGTTCATTGTTTACTCCAGGGGACTTGGAAAGTAATAGATTGACAGACATATTTGTACTGGCTTTGTCCTGAGCCGCTAGATTCTTTGCGTGGACTAGTTGATACATGATTCCATTATCAGAATAGGTAGCAGAAAACGAATAATTTTCCTGTAAGTTCTGAAGTATTTTTAAGTTCAGCTCATGGTAGAGATGTCTTTATAATGTTTGTCTTTAGAAGGCTGATAGTTCTCATATTTCTCCAAGAAAGTTGCATAGACATTCTTGGATTAAACGTTATTACTTCTCTTAGTAAGCAACTTGGACTAGAGTAGAGAGATTGAGACAATCATTGTACAGTACTACATTATTCTTCGATTGTTTCAAGGAAGATGCAACACGGAAGGTTGACTCGAGATAATATTTGCAGGCACTGTGACACAAGTTGTCTTAGTTTAACATATATATATTTCGATTAATTTGAGGAAAATTCTTAAAGAACAAAAAATATGCTCTGAATATTTGGTCTAGTATCAAAGTATATGCTAGCATAAGTTTTGTTATATGAATCTCATTCTTCAGTCTTTTCACTACCATTAGAGGCCGAAGAAGAAGGAGAAATGAAGTATGGAAAGAGGTTTCGCGACGAGGTTGAGAGAACCCTGCCGGAATGGAAAGGTCAGTTCATATGTTACAAGAGGTTGAAGAAGCAATTGAAGCTGATTAATCCTCGGCTTTCAAGGGGCAGAAGGATGCATAATCACTGGTCAAGATTTGCTACTGGCAGGTTTTTGGATGTGAATAATTTCAGGGAGAGAATTGGTTTCACCCGATTATTAGATAGTGAACTCAACAAGGTTAATACGTTTTATTTTGATAAAGAGGAAGATTATATCATCCGATTAAAGGTATTTAATTATCAGCCATCACTTTTCTGCAACAAAAAAAAGCTGCTAATTAGATCTTGATTGTTTTTTTTTTTTTTTGTAATCCATATGATTAGTTTATCATTGCTCCTTAAGTAATGATTTGCATGAACCAGGAACTGCAACTTAGGGCTGAGAATTTGGACTGTAATGAAGAGAAGTTACAGGTGCAGCAGGACATCTTGAATTTTCATGCAGAAATGGTTTTGCTGCTTCATTACAGTGTCCTTAACTTCACAGGTACCCCTTTTCTTCTCTTTATGAATCTGAACTTAGTAGGTAGTTTTATCAAATCGCCAAGTTTTAATTCCCTCTTGATAATTTTGTGTTCTATGCAGGATTGGTAAAGATTGTGAAGAAGCACAACAAGAGGACAGGCACTTCCTTTCAATTTTCCTCCCTGCCTAGGGTTATGCAACAGCCATTCTTCTCCACTGATTTGCTTTACAAGCTTATGAGGAAGTGTGAAACGATGCTGGATGAACTATTTCTTCCATAACAACCTTGGGGAGGACATTTCAACATCCATAGCCTATGTAATTATATATAGCAAGAATAACAACACAATACTTCACTTCACCATGGAGGGAGAATTACTAAACTTCTCAGTGAGCAATTTGTAATATTTTCACTCTGATTTTTATTTTTTTCCCCTTTTTGTCTTCTTTAGTGGCTGTATTATATCGATAAAAAAAATAAAAATTGAAGTTGTGTAGAACACTTATCCTAGCCATTATTAAAAGTAATTGCCTTTCTTCTTCTTTTCCTTTTTCTAGTCAAAGATAGATTTATTTTTTATTATTGGAAATTAAATGAATGGATATGGAGTGTCATAACGTAATTTAATTTTTTTGACAAAAAAAACTTTTACAATCCAAAGATACTTTCATTCCATCAAAGGTGTCAAGAAGGTGGTGGTAGAACTTATGGCCAGCCCAAAGCATAGAAAAGGAATTCTTCTGGGCAGCTTAAATAGTTTGAGAAACCTCATTTTAGTCCTAAACTTATATATCTATTCTCAATTACATCTTAAATTTATAGATTTTATTGAGCAGATTCCAAACATTTCCTACATTTTACAACTGCGTCTTTTCGTTAATTTATTTTCATAGTTCAAGTCTAGTCGGTATTTACATACTGAAATGGTGTCAAACTGAAAAAAAAAAATTAATGCAAAAGTTAATAAACATTAACATTTTCTTTCTATTGTGCACATTTATGCACTAAAATGACATCGATTTCAAAAAAAAAAAAAAAAGGAAGACTTGATTGAAAATTTATTGAAACATTTAGAATCTAATTGATAAAATTTATAGGTTTAGGACTCAACTGAGAATGAATATATGTGGAACATTGACTTAAATTACTGTTCTCATTGTTAAAAAAAAAAAAAATGTTATCTAAAGATACTTATGCTATACTTTACTAATTATTATAGCATATTGGAATTTACTTTCACGTTTTTGATAGAAACACTTAACGAACACCTGTAAATTAGATGGAATATTTTACTATTGCTAACAGTAGATGGATTGAGGAGTCATATCGTCCAATGTCCATGGCATTTGGAGTAAAATTGATAAAAAAGGAAAAGGTTTGAGACTTAATTTATAATGAAATAATATATTAGGGACTATAGTAAAAGGATTCCTCGAATTATTCTAAATGTATTTGTCAGCCTTAATAATATACTTATTACAAATAAAACGATGTCGTTTCGCCGCACTGCAGCTACTGTAACACCTTTGACTGGACAAAAGAAGAAACTGAAACCCTGTCTCATCCTTGAAGCTCACAGTCATCCTCATCTCTGGCCTTCCTTTCTTTCTCCGAATACAAATGATGTAAACAAAACCGCTTGCTACTTGCTAGCATTATGTGTTTAGAGTTTTGGTACTGATACAGATACAGAGCTTGCTTGCTGGGTTTCCTTCTTTTAGTTTTAGTCTAGGCAGGCAGGCAGGAAGGCCGGCGGTGAGAAAGAGAGATCTCTTGGCTACTGATTAGGTTAAGATTAGATTAGATTTGTTTCAAACACCCAATAAGGAGTAGGAAAAGGCGAAGGCAAAGGCAAAGACAGGTATTGCTATTTTGCTTCAATTTCCTTTTATTTGTTTAGTTATTATTTGTTGTCTCTCTGCATTCAGCAACACACAGGAATGGGATGTCAAGTTTTCTTGAATTAACAACAGCTTCTGCGTATTATTATTATTATTACTACTTGTCAGCTTCGATGTTGTTTATGCAGGTATGAGCCGTTCGCAAGGACCTTCCTCCCTTAAGAGGAAGAGGCCGGAGTCGAATTCTCTGTCGCAATCTCTGACTGATCAGGAGCGTAAACTGTATGATGTGATCCGAAGCAAACAAGATATGGGAATCTGGACGAGAGACATGAAGAGAGAAACCAACCTCCCAGACAATGTTGTTAATAAATCTCTCAAGGCTTTGCAGGCCAAAAATTTGATCAAGGAGGTGGTTAACATCCAAAACAAAGGGAGGAAACATTACATGGCTACGGAGTTCCAGCCCGCCAAGGAACTCACCGGAGGGTCGTGGTACGTGGAAGGGAGCCTAGATACTGAATTCATCAAGATATTGAGAAAGTTCTGTGTGGATTTCATAGCTGAGCTCAAGGTTGCCACACTGGAGAAAGTTACGGATTTGATCAGAAGAAATGGAGTCTTCGCTGTTGACGTGACGCAACAGCAGGTGGAAGAGATTGTGAGGACTTTGGTTTTGGACAATGAGATTATGGAAGTGAAGAGTAATGGAATGGGGGAGTTTGCTTCCGTTCCTATCGGAAAAGTTTGCTATAAATTGATCGGCAAGGGTGGCCTCGGAGGTGAACTAAAAGCGAAAACAGGGGCAATGGCTTCCATTCCTTGTGGAGTGTGTCCAAGGATAAGTCATTGTACACCTGATGGCGTTATCTCTCCAAAGACTTGTGTCTACTACACCAAGTGGTTGGATTTCTAACCATTCCATGCTATTTTGATCAACAAGTTTCTCTCATGTTCTTGCATTTTAGATATCTATAATATCATGCTCTTTCAAGTCCTCTATGGTTCTCTGGCCTTGAATGATCAGTTAGAATGCATTGCTTTTGGTCTTGCTTTTGTTTAAGCAAATCATACTTGTACAGCAGAAACATAACAGTTACCGTGTAATTGCCTACTGCTACCTCCACAGGTTGGTTAGCTCATCTCTATTTATAATCATAGTTTCCATCCCTAGATTTACAAGCTCCTACATGAATATCCTCGTGTCCTAGAAAAGAAAATATGCTCCAAGATTCAATACCATCGCATTACTTGCCTGATAGCTGCGTACCCATCTGTTTTTACAGATTCGGTAATTAAGCTTGCATTTTCAAGGAATATATATATATATATATATATATGTATATATATATGTGTTAGAGAATAACATAAATTGTATCCTGAAGTCTTACTTAACAGTTTGATACAGTTTGAGTTTTGGACGAGATGATCTCTTGACATGTTATCGGAGCCTCGATGACTAAACGGTCGCGAGTTCAGATCCTACCATTCTACTTTCTCTTCTAATTAATTAAGCACAAATTAGTATGGACTGTGCAAGTTTCAAGCCTAAAAAGCTCTTTCACTTGAGAAGATATGTTAGAGAATAATATAAATCATATTCTAAAATCTTATCAAACAGCTTAAGCTTTTGAATGATATGATCCTTTGATAAAATATATATATATATATGTTGTTACTCCATTATTTATTGCAGAGATTAGAAGAATCTTATTTAATGTTTTTCTTGTATGTAATTAAAATCTTCAAAGCGTCAATAATTTGAGATCTAACAACAATTTCTTAAAAAGAACAAATTTGTGCAGCTAAGGAAAAGAGGCTTCTGCCTCAATTTGATCATCTTATAAAGCTTCAGACCAAGCAGTGATAGCTCGAGGGAGTGCCCAGTCTGCCTTGTCTTCTTACCTAAGTCAAGCGGCCAAAGTTTATAGGTGTGAAATTGTTTGAGAAACATTGGGATACAGACTTGTTTGAGAACCGTTGGAGTATAGCTTTATGTCCAAGAGCATAGTTCAACAATATCCATATAGTTGGCAAGTCCACCTTCCCTCAAAAGCAATTCTTTCCCTCACGGAATGTGATGGTCCACGGCAATCCCACCTTGATGTTGCATCAGCTTGCAATTGAAGAGGCCAGGTTTCCTAGACGAACTCTATTTGGTAAAGGCCTGGCAATAAGTCCATCAGTGACCCAACCCATTGATTCACTATCATTTTTCACATGGTTGAATTCCCGTTGAGCATATTCCAAAGAGATATGTAGCTTCCCCCTGGTCTGCAGTCAGAAGAGATGCTTCTTGCTTCAATTCCAGCATTTCTCTCCAACCAGTATAAATAATTAACTTGGAACAGCGACTTAAGCATGTCATGTTGTGAAGAACTTTCTTTAAGCACCACCTGATTGCGGCAAGTAATTCAAATACAACATAGGATAAGTATTAGTCAGCTCAGTTCCTCCCATAAACGACTTGCTTCTCAACTGCAGCCAAAAGAAGTTAAGAACACTTGTCCTTTCTTTTTTGACAACGAAAGGAGGTTTAGAGGAACAGGATTATTACTACAGATAAAAAACATAGGCTGTTTGCTGGATTCCTTGAACTATACATTTTGTTATAATTTAGTGGCTTCAATCATCAGAGACAGCATGAATTAAAATGACCTAAAAAACTCTTCCAATACAAGGAATTGATAGCTTACAAAACAGAGAAGTTGGCAACAAGATAAATGATTTTGAATCACTAGATGACATCATATTTAACACAAGAAAACAATGAGGAAGTATAAACAGGAGCCCTTTATACTAAGGACTAGCAGTGATTTCATAATGATTGTGCTTTTATGAAAAATAAGTATGAATCAAGGATAGGTCAATGCATGCATGCACACACACATATATAATAGAAAATCAATAAGCATGGAAACAAGAAGATACAGACTGACCTATGGAGCTGGTGAAAAGAAATCGAACATGACATTCAAAATGAAGCTGCTACTATAACTTACACAGAATCTTCCCTTGTGCTCAGTCAAAATGTAGCCTTCATCTCTATACAAATTGAACAATGCAACCGTGTCATCCTTGTTGTTGACAACATCACTGAGCTTTGATCCCAGCTGCAGCCTCTGCTCAATTTCAGCAGCTGCATTCATCGCTTCTGAAGATAGATCGATTGGTTGTGCCTGAAATAAAATAAGAAAAACAATGAGATTATTTTCATAAATCTTGCTTTTTCCGGGACAGGAAAATAATTAACTACAGAGGAGAAAAATAGAGAGCAACTCACATTGTCCTTAGAGTATATATTAAGAAATGGAACAGCTGGAAAAAGAGGTTCTTCAGCATTGACCTCTTTGACTGGAGGTGCTTGGCCGCTGAGGAGGTATTCACTAAAAACTAAACCTATTAGAGCAATGAAAAAAAGGGGTTCTGTTACATAGGGTTGGAATACTATGAAGATGATTATGGCAACAATCTCAAGACTCAAGAGTGAGTTTATGTGATTAGACAGCCATTTTGAAGATTTGAATGGAGGCTGTCTTAAAGTGGCAGCAGATAGTTGTGTGAGCAAGTAAAAATTCTATTTCATCCACCTGTTCTGTGGAGAAGACCAGAGAGATAGCAAGTGAAAACATACCCAACCAATATCATCTACAGTTTACAAGGTTCTATATCCTCCAACAAACTGAACTGAAACAAATCTATTTACTCAGTATCATTCTTAAATAATGATTATATATAGTAACAGAAATTCTAAGTATTTTGCGTTCAAAGGGGCTTCAAGCTTTCTTTTTTGGTATCAACTCATTTCTACCAATGCAGTTACAAAGAAATTAGTAAGCACTCCCATTAGAGGGGAAAAAAGAGATTAAAAAGAGAGAGACAGAGAGAGAGAAGAGATTGATTACTTGCACGATAGGGATTTAAAGTCCTTAGTTGAATTGATTGATATGATTTCAGATTGCAGAACATGTGGATCCATGTCACCACACTAAAAGAAGCAAGAGCAAGGGGTGTTGAGGAGCCTATGCAATTAGCCAATGCTATACCAAGCATTATACCGATAAACTTGCTCACCATTCCTTGAGCTTCACCCTTGGCAATTACCTACAATTAACAATTTCAGTCAGGAACAAATCGAAGTAACTTTGGACTTACTAAGGTGTCACAAAGAAAAGACATGTTGCACAAAAACAGCTCTTTACCAGCTGATAAACAATGAGAATTTCCAAGCTTCCATAAAAGCAATTTGGTATTTAAGAATAAGAAAAAACCAAAAGAAACAGTGTTGCACCTCAGCAAAGTTTCTTTGGGCAGCAAAACCAGCAAAAAAACAGCTCCTTGTAGCAGCCTGCAAATTATGAGCATCAACTTTAAGCAACTCTAAATAAACAAACAAACAATGAGCATGAACATCATAAAATCAGTTCGACATCGTAAATTATGTACATAATTTAGAAGTGGCATGATTGATAGGAAAATTGCCTGGATAAGAGCAGCAGCAGAGCGACCAGCTCCAGCAGTGGCACCGATGAAAACAAAGAGCGAAGGAAAAGCAGGAGTTAACATCTCCAAACCAAAGGCAGCATTTTCCAAAAGGTCAGCAAACAGCCTCCACCCTTTAGGATGAACATCAAAATGTCGTCCATATTTGGACAAGACGATTTTACTGAGATACCCAATTCCATCCTTCAGCACCCAATTGATGGCGGCAGCCGTTGGAATAGCTCCTTTCCCCAACCCAACAGCATAAAGCAATGCCTATCATAACCCTATATTAATCAAAAGAAACAAAAGCTAACTATTCCTATAATGATAGATAGATAGATACCTGGGTGGCAAGAACGCCGCTAATTTGGCTAGCAACGCCTTGGACAGCTCGCCAAAGAGAGTAATCCAAGTAATCAGAGGTAACACTTTGTGGGAATCCTTGGGGAAGCATGAGGCGTACGAACAGGGCTGTGCATTGGGACCATAAATCATTAACAGAAAATAGTGACGGAGATGACGACGATGATGTTGGAGACACTACAAACTCATCCTTAGAGAAATCAGGAACAAGTCTAGCCCAGCTGTCCCCTTTAACTTCCCAAACCTCCTCTCCCCCTTCTTGTTGAGTTCTTGCAACTGCTGAAGAAGCCAATTGCAACACAGCGGACGAGCATAAGAAGAAGAAGAAGAATAGGGGAAAGGGGTTGGAATAATCACTGTCATCATTCCACCACCACCATCCGTCATTATTGTTGTTGTTATTATTGTTGTTCCGGCCACCGTGATTGTTGTTTCCGCCACTTGGCAAGTCCAAGGAAAAATGGAAAGGAGAAGTGGTTGCCTTGAGACGGGTTGGCGATGGCGGAGTAAAGCTTCTACTATTAATAATTGGTGGGCTAATGGTGATGGTGATGGAAGGAGCAGTCGTTCTTGGGGTGGTGGACATCCATGTTCCCGAAAGAAACAATGGCCTGCAAGCGCAATCCATGGAAATTGCGAAATGCTGTTACCTTCTCCCTTTTTTTTTTTTTTGGACTGACTTGAAATAAAGGGCTAAGGGCTGCCGTGTGCACCTACAAAACACTCCCTCAAGTAAAGATTTTTCAACGCTAGTCCTACTAAGTTAATGAATTATTCAATTGACTCCTCTAATAAAATACAGTCGTAAATATAATATTTTCAGGCCTAACGAATTGCGTACCTCAAGACTATCTCTCGATAAACATGGCTAAAAAACACTTTCCAATATATGATTATTGGTATACTAAGAATAAATTTTTAAAAATATTGATTATAAAAATTGAATACTGAATCGACTCGTAAATCGACGTTTACTTGCTAACGGATTGTAATTTTTTGATTAAATAATCCAAAAGTTTAAAATTGGTGAATCAATAACTATATTAAACTTTCAATTACTAAAATCTTAATCACAAATACAAATTATCAATTTAAATCTCTTATTTTTTTATTAGCTATCACTTTCGTATGGATATTTTTTTTCTTTTCTCTATTCTCCTTAAGACAAATTGAAAATCTTCAATACATTAAGGTTGTACTCTCCTTATATTTTTAATAGTCTTGCTTTGTATGTATGGTGGTTTTTGTATAGGTGTGGGTGGTTTCCTTAAATAATTAATTTACGACTTATAAAGAAAAAAGATATTATCTCCTTTTTTTCTCTTGAGTAAATTATAAATTAGTCCCTTAGTTTTTTTTTTAAAAAAAGAATTAAATAGTCTCTAATTTCAATAACTAGTTAATTAGTCTTTATATTTTCAATTCTATTTGTAAGTCAATCATTTTATTCTTTTTTCAATTTTTTTATTTTAATAAATAAAAAATAAGTAAAAAATATAAAAAGATTGATGGGAACAGAAAATATTTTTATACAAAATAATATTAAATTAATTAAAATATAATATCTTCTTTATGGGTGAACATTCTTGCCATTCAGAAACTAATTAATTAATTTCCAAGAAAAGAAGGACTATTTAATTTACTTTGCAAAACTGAAGGAACTAATTTATAATTTACTCTTTCTTTCTTCCGTGATTTCTAACCCCTCCAAAATTTATGCATCTCTCCCTCTCTTCGGGGCGTTTTGAATCTTTGGGGTTTGTTTTTCTCTCCTTTCGCTCCTTCTTTTCTTCCTATTTTTCAAACTTGAAACTGGAAATTATTTAAATTTTATTTATAAATAATAAGAACAGGTATTGGAAACAAACGAGAAAATAATAGTATGAAGAATGAAAAAACAGCAAGCATATCGTCTGTGGATTAGTTTCCAAGTAGTACATTTCATTAATAGCTGAGAAGAAAAAGTATTTTTTACTACCAAAAAAAAAAAAAGGAACTGACCAACAATCTATAACAGCCTTTTTAATTGATGGAAACTTGTTAAGCTGCCAATCCAAAGAAGTAAATCGTTCCTGAGGTTTCAAGAACACAAAGAACAACAAGAAGAAATCAAATCACTTGCTTGCGTTGTTTTAAATATGGAAATGGTTATCAAGGGATGTGCTTGGAGTAGCCCTTCGACTGCAAATGACAGATACCAAGCTACAGGATTAAAAAACATTAGCAAAACACACTGATGGGCGATGCTAGTAAGCTTCTAAAATAGTCTACTAACACCAAAAAGTGACAAACAGCAGCCATGGCACAAGAAGTTGTCTGTCAAGACGTCAATTACGAGCAGTGCAGTGCAGGGGAATGGAAAATGGGAAAAATAGAAGGAAAGGAAGAAGAGAATAAGCACCCTTGTTAAATGATCGTTCTGTATTCAATAGCAGAATAATTGTTTACAGTTGTATTTTAATACTATGCTTGATACCATGCAACTAGAATATTCTTGATGGATAGCATTCAAGCAATTTCCATAAACCTCAGGGCACTATATGTTTAACCATGTCAGTTACACAGAGAAGTGGGGGAGGGGAGGGTTATGTACAAACATGAAACACCTCAAGGAACTGTTAGTTGACCTGTGTGTCCAAAAGACTTCCACGATGACTCAAGCCGCAACAAGTGCAATTTCTCAACAAATGCTTCTAGGACTTTGGCATCCTCTTCTGGTGCAAACGCCATGCAAATGCTAAGCTCTTGCACTGCCTGACCATATTTCCTGCAATTGCAATCAATACCTTCAATCACACCGTAATGAACTGAGTTACAATATTTGTGAAGGCATGAAATTCCCAAATTTCTACCTATTATAGTACAACATCATGCCATGGTCTCTCCTCAAAGCCCAATTATGTGGTTGCAGAGTCAACAATCTTTCCGAAGCCATGATAGCCAGCCTGCAAAGAATTCTGTAGTTCAGCATGGTCTGCATAAAAAGTTTATCCTCCAGTGCTAACATAGCAATTGCAATGCTACATAGTTTATCTCCCAATTTAGAAATTACATGCACAACTTGTACAATAGAAAAAGAAAAGAGAAAGCCAAATTCATCTTGTATGGAAACATTTTACTGCCTGACCATAGCGACAGACTTAAAGATATAAAGTCATTACCATTTGCCAGTTCGTTTGACATGGACCGAACAAAACAAAAGCAACTTCTGACAAAAAAGTGAACTGTTGCAGCAATGCAACCTCAGAAAATAACGTAGTTAATATGATAAAGTTTAAATGAATAAACCACCCGTACCAATCTCAGTGAAACAAATGTGCAGGCTATGATTTACAATAAACACGAATCTCAAACAAAAGACTTTTTCCAGACTCTTAATGTAATAAAACAAATCCAAACAAACCGGTGCACATAACATCCTTAAAATATACCCTCTAACCCTCTATAAGAATATATGCGTAGATAGCATGCAAGAAGATTTACTTAGGATGTCATCTTCACATTCCTTTAGAAATAAATATTACTATCCCAAAAGAGAGTAATTAACTAGAAAACGAAAAGCAGGATTATGTTAAAGAAAGTCATGGTGCCACCAACTGAAAATTGTGCCTATGTAAAATACATTTCCTATTCTAGAAAGAATTAGCCTGAGCCAAAGGTTGAGACACAATGCATCTAATATAGTTTCTCTAATTCCAAGAATAACAAGTCAAATGGATGAACTGTGAAAGGTAACATGTTTAAAAGAGCAAGAGGCTTGAATAATACAAAAAGGTAACATGTTTAAAGACCATGCCATTGTGCCATCTGTTCTTTTTTTTGGTGAATGGGACCAAAATTTTCAATTAAGTATTAAGAGAAAATATAGAATGAGAAATAGAAAGGCAAATTAGCGAATAAGAAAATTGATAAAAGAGCTACAAGGAACACTAGAACAAGAAAGCAGCCACCAAAAAAAAAAAAAAAAAAAAAAGAACCTAACAACCAAGCAAAAGCCAAAAAGAATCCCATCATCTGCAGCCACAAAGGCAACTAGAAAGACTCCCAAAAGAGAAACAGAAGAAACCCCAAAGAATAGAAGGAAGAATGCCAAGGCCAAGAAAACAACTAGACCAGCCACCCAGACCCACAACCGACACAAAACAGCACCAGCAGATTTTCAGAAGACAGGAGAGAAAACATGAGCACAACACAACAAAAGAGGACAACAGGAACCAATACTGACAAAGAGATCATGGTACCAAACAGGGTAATCAAGGCCACTTGAAAAGCCACCTAAGGAGGACTTACAAGCCAATGGGCAGCAGAACTCTTCAATGAAACAACACCTGGAACTAACAAATCCAAATTCACAGAAGAAAGCCATCTGATTTAAACAACCACACGCAAATAAGACATCCTCAAAAGAAACAGAGGAACACTGCCTTTAAGAGAAATGCCTTTTTCCTGCTGAAGGGGCAAAACTAACACTGCCTCAATACTCTCACAGACTATCTAGGCAGAAACAAGAGCAACAAAAAAGCAGCTACAATCCCAATAATCCTAGAAAAAGAAAGTAATTATAATCTTTGTACTAAGAAGCTGTTAGGGCACAAGCTACTGAGGTATGATCCAGACACAGTATGCTCCTTTCTTTTATTATTATTTTTTCGTTTGATGCATAACTGATGCATGTATCAAGAAGAATCAATAATTCAATCTGTTGTACTGTTATCATGCTGATGTTACATGGCTTAATTGTTTTATGATACTCTGAAAATAAACAGCTTGAAGATAAAAGGACGACAAGAAGCAGAGCCCACTCAAACACTGAAAAAAAGGAAGATAATAGACACTGCAATATAGATGCATAAGAAAACTACCTAAGATCTTGAGGCCGAACCAAAGGCATACTTGAATTATGGATCTTGTTAAACCTGTCGTCAGTGTTATGAGCATGCCTAAGTGGAGAGGTCAGCATCAATCCAGGATTTGATCTCGAAGCACGTTTCCAATGGAGCCTCTGCCAAAATTTAAGGATTTAGTTTATCCTAAGTGGGGATAAGGAAGTATATTTAGAGACTGAATAACCGTTATTGATGGAAGAATTGAAAAGGGACTAAATGAGTACATTGGTTATCTTGGTAAATGTAAAGAACAGTGAAGTATTTGGATGAAATTCCAGTAATTAGAACTCACAATCAAATTGGCCAGAGCAATCCCGATAATGTCCCGTTTTGTAGCTATCTCAAGCCCCAAAAGAGAGTGTCCAGTCAAATCCGATGCCTTTGATCTAGGATCCTCAACACACCTTCCGTTGACAATTGCAAACAAGCTGTGTCCTGACGTTACCTTGAAGAGCTCCTACAGAAAGGAGTGGCACAATTAGAATAGCTGGTTTGAAATTTGTCTGAAAATAAGATTTTACAACAGGATATCATTCATAGATTGTGAAGAAATGCTTCAGTGACGCATTAGAAAGAATAAAATTTAGTAAGAACCATCAATTGCCAAACTAAATTTTAAACACGAACAAGAAAAATTTAAGCACCTCTGGGTTCCCCATTTGAGGCCATATCAAAAAATCTTCCCCAACTCGGGATCCCACAATGGTTAGACCAAGTCTTCTACAAACTTCAATGTAAATTATACTAAGCAAAATTGCTGTCAAAAAAGCAAATATATGATCAGATGGCAGTGAATACCCACAGAACAAGAAAAGACAGCAATAAAGCATATATCATGGGGAAGAAAGTTATTCAAGAGCTCCAATGTACTAAGTGAACCAGAAAAATGCAATAAAACAGCTAGCAACAAGTCATTAAGTAAAAAGGATGAAGTTTTACCACTGCCACATCTGGTGCTTAATACCGTGTGCAAGTATGAATACTTGGAATCTACAACAACAGGCGATCTTTTGAAGCCTCTCAACTCAAAAAGAACTAAATTCACTGCATCCAAAAGTTCAACCAAATGGCAACCTATGTCTCGTGAAACTAGCTCTGCTTCGACATCCTTTGTAATGTCGTCCAACTCACTGACCCACTGACTTATTGTCTTTCCAGCCAACGGCATCTGCTCCACACAATCCCACTCCTGGGCATTCGATGCAGCTGAAAAATCTGACCTCTCATTCCGGAGTAAGCAAGCATCCATCTCTCGATTGAGAGCGATGAATGCCTCATCTTCTGCTGCAATGTACAGCAAAGCCTAGACCAGCCAGCAGAAAACACACGGAATTCAGAATCTCCCAACAAAGAAACTTGCGCAAATTAATTCCAAGAAACAGCAAAATTTCACTATATGCAAAGACATAAATCATGATACAACTTGCACTCGATCTGCAACAAGCAGTTTGGTTAAAGGGTGCCGGAAATAACATACACACAAGAGAAAAGATTAGAAAAGAAAATTAGTTGCTGGAAGGAGGGATAAATCAGCAGATGTCAAATTATAACCAGAAAAAAATGGAGAAGTCAAGATAATTTGTCAAATTCATATATACCTTAGCAAGAGAAATGTCTTTGTCCTTGGGTTGGAATGAGATTTCCTGGGTGAACTTTTCCCTTGCGGACTTGACAACCTGGAGGAGATTGTTTCAAGACCAAGGAATAGACAAATAAGTAGCAAGATTAGAAAAGGTGAAGCAAGAACATTAATCCAACCAAAAACATAACATATCTTCACAAGAAGAAGAAGCAGCAGCAGCAGTACGATGATGATGAGAAAGGCAAGATAGGGTGTTAAAATGGTATACAAATCAACCTCCTGATAAGTTTTGAGACGACGGGAAGAAGAGTCCATGTTCATCTGATTGATGGAAAGAGGGGAAGCTGAAGCTGAAACTGAAACAATAGCAATCCCATTTCTTCTCCTCCACTGCCGATGTTGATCATGATCATACCTGATATGATATGATCATCGTGTAAAGAATAAAGGGATGTTTGGGGTTTGCATACCACAAAAATCCTTCTTCCTCACCTCTAATATACACTACTACAATAATCCAAATACATACATACATGAAAACTAACCATGTATTGACTAAAAAATTATCCATAACTCAAGCAGCAAGAAGAAGCTTAAGTAACAAATCAAGAAGAATGTTGAAGATTCTTTATTACCTGATGGGCAAAACACGAGAAGATGCCGCTGCTGGCATGGTTGTTGCTGTTGTTGAAGTAGCAGCAGTGATGAATGAATTACACATCATTTTCTTGCTTTCTTCCTACACTACTGGATTGGAGAGAGAAATTGGTTCAAAGAAAAAAAAATGTAAAAAAAGAAAGAAAACCCAAGAAAATATACGGAAGAAGAAGAAGAAGTAATGTATTATTATGATTATTATATCAAGGCATTTTCTGTGGCAGTAATTCTTATGGGAAAGAACAAAGAGGAAGGATAGAAGGATGATGATGGTGCCATGGTGGTGGTGTTGGGCTCACTAATTATTATCAATTCACTTCCTAAAGACAACAGCAAGTGAGAATTACGGTAAGATGAAGAAGAAGAAGAAGAAGAAGAAGAAGATGATGATGATGAGTAGTTGTGATTGCAAAAATCCATGCTACTTAGCTACAGATATTGTCTAATTGATGATGACGATGGTGGTGGTGTGATCTATCTAATCTAAGAAAGAAAAACAATCAGCAAAAAGGAAGGAAGGAAGCAAGTGAAAGGCAGTGAGTCTAGGCTGCTGCTCCTCCCTAATTGGTAATCTTTGGGTGGGTGGGTCATGGGTGATGAACGATGAATGATGATGTACTCCTTCCATGCTATTTATCATCAAGACAAGTACCTTATTTTGTACCATAAATCATAGGTAAGGTAGGAAAGGAAATTTAAAAAATTATTAGATTTATAAAAGGATAATATCGATAAAAAAAAAATTATAGGACAGCGTTTGATCCAAGATTTTGGATAATAGCCAACTATTACTTGCAATAATTTGGGAAGGATATGGAGACTGTCCAAATTAAGTATCATTCGCTGCAATGTATTTGAATTTGGAATGCTCCAATCCATCGTTCTCTTCTTCCTCAACCTTCGAATTTCTATATTTTTGTCCAATTATGAACCAAAAATAGAAATTAAATTTCTAATAGGTTATGAGATTTTGGGTTGCTCTTATTTTATGCTTTATATTATTATTATTATTATTATTTCTTTTTTTAATACTTGTTTCCTAATACATGTGATTATTTTTCGTTTTTTTAAGTTTCGGGTTTATAAATGAAAATAAAATTATTTTTTAAAAAAATTAAATCGTTATTAGTTAATTTTTCTAAATCCCTTTTGATCAATTGCTTATATTTTCAACTTTATAATAGCATATTTTATTTTTCTAAAAATTAAATCAAAACTCCAAATTTCAAAGAGTTTTTAATTTACAAATCCAGTATTATTAAAAATATATATATATATACTCTTGTGTCTTTTTGTTGTTAGGGTTTTATAAGATGATAAGGAAAAATTCTTATTATAATGATGTTGTCCTTTTCATTTTTCATTTAGATACATTCAAATAGCTTATTGGAATTTTTTTCATTAATTGAGAGTTATTATTGATAACAACAAATGGAATTAGATTAAAAAAAAATTCGTTTCTTGTTTGTTTTTAACACTAAATTTACTAAACCTAAAGATAGAATCACTTTATATATATATATATTGAGTAGTAATAGTGCATAACATAAAATAAGAACAATTTAAAAATTTATTTAAAAAAATAGTATAAATATATCTATATGTCTTTATATAATATTCAAAGTCTTTTATCTTTTTCTAAATTTTCAATTACATCTCATCTCTCTCGTTTCTAAAAAAATTTAAAATATTCAACATGTTATTTTAATCTATTTTTTCAACCATGAAAAGTTTTTTTTTTAATTGAAATAATCCTTACTAAAAAAAAAAAATTAAAGTCACATGATATTCAAGTTCTATTTTTTTTTCAATTAAGAGTATTTCGATAACATTTAGTTTAAAAAAATTGATTCAAAAAGATAAATTAAATATTTTAAATACTTTTAAAAATAAATAAGATGTAACTAGAAATATATGAGTATATAAAAGACTTTGAGATATATGAATATATTTATGCGAAAAAAAATGCAAAATTTGGTACGGTGTGCTACAAAAAACCCAATGCTAACGGTTGTACTAAAATTTTAGCCTCTCTTTTCCGGACCCAATGATTGTTTAGTTATGCATCAATAAAGGATCAGATTACATTTAGATTACTTTACCTTTTTTTTTTTTTTTTTTTTTGGACATGCGTAGGTGGGAAATTTTTAGAAAATTCAAAACTTTGTACTATCATATTACTTTCTTTTTGTTTTTGCAAAAAAAAAAATAAATAAATAAATAAAACAATAATAACAGCAATAAACAGCGCCAAGCTGAGGGATCATATTGAAATGCGGGTGGTGCCAGCAGCTGTCGCGTTGAAGTAACATAAAAAGTTGGGAAAGGGATCCAAATATTTCTTTTCGAAATCACTAAAGCAGAAGTCTTTATAGATAAGGTTACGTGCGTCATCATCAATTCACGGAGACATTTAGATAGTAAGTGAGTAAATTATAACTTAATTCCTATGTTTTTTTTAAGAAAATAATTCGATACCTCTATTTTAAAAAATTATTGACGGGTCATTTGGAGTCATTCGTGGTTTCATTTTCTTATTTTGTTTTCAAATTTTTTTCAAACAAAAATTGAATTTTTTTTTTGTTGTTGTTGAAAAAAGAAAAGGAAAGGCAAAACCAACAACCTACTTGTTTGATTTTGAAAAATTTTGAGAAGCCGTTATTGGGGTTTTATGTTTTGGAAAACAAAAGCAAAAACAAATAAACTTTTTATATCCTTTTTCAAGTTTGATTTTTAAAATAAAAACAAAAAACAAAATAATACTAGACTATCCCTAAGGAATCTCTTGATCATATTACATCATCAAGTCACATACTAAAACAAGATGGATCAAGTCAAGATAGCTCAACATTTCAGTAACCAAAAATTAATAAATATGAAAATATAGGGATAGGTTAACTAATTTTAAAACCAGAGGGACTACATTTCTGTTTCTTTGAAAAAAAGGGACTAATTATCAATCTACTCTATAATTTAGTAGTAGTGGTATTTTCCTATGCGGAAGGATGGGAAATGAGTGAGCGATCCGGGTATGATATGGTGCTCCTCCTTTCCCTTTCTCCATTTTTCTTTCCCTTGAGAGGAGAGAATTAGTAAAGTGGAGGATGATGATGGTGATGCGAAAATGCTCGTGATTGGAATGGCAGCTTGCCTTTCTTTTACCCCACCTGACGTCCACTTTGTTTGGCATATGTTTGCTACTTGCTCCCCACCCGAACCCCACTTGCCCTGCAAATGGATTGGATTGGCCTGTTTATTATCTTCTTCTGGGCAATTTTCAAACGCTTTTCCCCGAAAAAAACAAGGCATTACAACTGTAATTTTTTGTTTCTTTTTGGTGTGGAGAATTTAGGGTAGTAGATTCCAGCATCTCCTTACAAATGTTCTACTGAATTCTGCAAAATCAGGCCATCCAAAAAAGCCCCAAGTCCAAACCCTTAAAAGATGAGTTACAACTCCTTTCAGAAGCTCTCTGAACAGTTTTTGCGTTACAAATTAATCGACGTTAGGCTTTATTTTTTTTATTTTTTTAATGAGAAACGTCTGTTGAGAGAAGAGAAAAGTCTCTATGAAAATGTTACTGAATCTCTCCTCTTAAGACTTCTGCAGACTCTGTGGGTTAGAGTAGAAGTAGAGTTTTTACAATAACCATCGTGATTCTGAGCGTAAAAATTGATATTACTGTTTGAAGACTACTTCCAGTGACCAAGTTGGAAATAAGACAAACAAAACTTGCACAGTTCCATTCACATTTGGTAACTGGGTCATCGGAATTAGATTTAGGCACAAAAATGCTAAAAGGCCACTGCCGTCCCTTTTTGAGAGGAAGGCATCCTGGAAGCCATCTTTTCTTTGTGTGTTTTTAATGTGAATACCAAACTTCATTTATCATCAAGATTCAAGACACCAACAATAGGAGCCTGCCTGTCCTAATACAAGGTTTTTTTTGCACCGTATATATATGTATGTATGTATGTTTTGTATCAAAGCAACAAGAAAGAAAAATTTAGGGGCTCGTTTTGGTATTGTTTTTGTTTTTTTTTTTTTTTTTTTTTAAGATTGAAAACAATCGTTTTTTATTTTTGAAAAAATAAAATTGATAACAAGTTTTAAAAACCAAAAAAATTATTTTAAAAAGTTTTCAAAATTAATTATTTACACTATTACTATATGTTTTGGAAGTCAAGTTGGGTTCGAGACTCGAAAAGAAACGTGGATATTGTCAACAATTTAGACCGAAACCTTATCTGAAGCGTCCAAAATTCAAATCAATATGTGATTCGAGGTGCTTAGAGTTTAAAATAGGACGTAATTCTAAATGTTTGAAATTATAATCGATACCTGGTTCCGAACCAACTTTAACGGACTTTACATTTAATAAAAAATAATAAACAATCAAACTAGTTTTTAATTTTTTTAAAAATAAATAAAAAAGCTTAAAAACTAAAAACAAAAATAGAAAATGATACCAAACCAACCTTAGCTAAATTATAGTTCCTATAAATAAGTAGCCACGTAGGAGCAATAGTATCGTTAGCTGAACAAATAACCGTGTAGCAATCGATGCTGTCTACAGAAAATTTAATGGGCTTTACTGTAGCATCGGACCTAGAAGAATTTGTCGCGCATGCCCGCTATCATTCCTTTCTCTCTTTCTATGTATTTTTCTTGCGCTAGAAAGTGGGAGCCGCGTTGGCTCCTCTCGGTGCGGCCTACATAGGAGCAAAAGTTTTCTTCATGCCGTCAATTTTCGGTTGACATTATATTTTAAGAACGCTTTTCTTAGATAGAAGATGAACCTTGTCATAAAACTGATTAATTTAATCAATTTTATTATTGAGTATATATTAAGTATTTAATATATCATACTGACGAGATTTTTAGATTAAATTATTAAAATTAATTACATAATTTGCACACAAAAGCCTTTCACTTGTCTGACTTGTAAAAATATTTTGAAAATAAAAAATATTCATGTATATGTCATAAAATTAATTCTAGTAGTTCAATCTAAAATTTTTATTAAAATGATAGATTAGAAACTTAACGCATAGTCATCATAAAATTAACTCAATTGTAACTATAAAAACATATTAGATAATTATTTTATTATGTAAAGATAAATTGAACCATTAATTCCAATTTATTTATTTTTATATTTACAATAAATATATTATCTAACCATAACATACGTCAATTGAAACTAAATTTCTTCACGAATAATTTTAAAAGGGCATCTCTCACATTAGCCTAATGCATTTAGAAGAATTTAATGATTTCTTCTAATGTATTGACTTTAAAATTTGAATCTACAAAATAAAAAAAATTGAGATCAACCTCTTAAACTTAATTAAATGCTTTTATTAAAACATAAAATATTAAAATATGAATGCCTTTGCATGGCATTATTGGGCTAAAATGAGGCTAATTAAGGTACTGAATTTTTTTTTTTTTTTGGTGTTTCCCTCATGTTTAAGGAATTATTAAATTATCTAAATTTGTAGCTGAGATGGACTTATGCCACTAATTTAGAAGTTAATAATATTGTTGAAATATTTATAAGAAAGAAAAACTTTGAAGAGTGAAGAAAAGTAAGAAAATAAAAAGATACGATATTGTATTTATGTCTATATATATATATATATATGTATGTATGTATATGTATATATAATGAGTGTATAAATGGACTAAACTACATAACTCCGGAAATAATTATTGCTGGTTTTAATGGGACGAAGATGGAGATTGGGAGCTTCGGCGAGGAGTTTTGGCGGTATTGCGGTAGCGGCGTACGTAGCTCCAACGCTTTCATTAGTGGTCTTGGGTCTAGTCTTATAGATTTGTTGCTGGAATATTGCCTAGGTTTAGGCCCATGAGTCTCGTGTCCTTTTCTTTAGGCCCATGTTTGTATAGATTCGTATCGTAGGTAGAGATTGACTGCATAGGGTTAGGCCCACCTGTCATGCATTTAGTTCGTATCAATGCTTGCTGTACTAACTTCATCTCTGGGGCTGTGGAGCTGAGTCAACCCCCCAGTCCTCCTAACGGCAGCCCACGTGTCACTAGATTGTGCTGGTGGTAGCTTGTAAGTTAATTAGAAAATAACGTTTTATGAAGTTGATACGGTGATTAAAAATATTTGCTTTTTTTAAAAAAAATATTAAATTTTATCATTAATTTTTAGAAGAATTTTCATGTAAAAACATGAAGTTAAAGTAGAAAATGTATTTCTAAAATTATTTTAAGAAAAAAAAATCTAATCTCGAATCACGATACAAACTGATCTCAAAATATGCTTTCTAATAGAATAATAATAAAAAGAAAACAATTGGACAGTGAAGCATCTCGGACAAAAGAGTCATGTTTTGGATGAAGTAAAAAAATGAAAAACACTAAAATACAGGAGAGAAGCAAAAGACTGATGTACCCCTTGTTTTCTTTCTGGAGTGATCTTCCTCTTATCTTGTGGCACAATAACCAGTACCTACCTCTTAAGCTTTCAGGGAAAAGAAAAGAAAATCAAATACGTCACTTTCTGTCCAGCTAGTTCAAGAAACATGACCGTAGGCAAAGCACCGGTGACTTTTCTGCTCTGCTTGGCTATTGTATTCACACTCTCGCAAGCCAAGTCAAAGATTGCACAGCCACAGCCACTCACATCCTTCAAGATCAACACTACCCTGCAGGTACGATTTTTTCTGTAGATAATAAGGAAATTTTATAATTTTTGTTTTTTCAAGAAAACTTAGTTTCCAGCTGATTGATCATATGCATGGAGAGAGATTCTCCAAAAATAAAAAGGATTTAATTAATTTTCCGGTAAGTTATATGCCCTCATAATTAGTTCTTCATTAAAGGAATAATCTGATTGAAATGGTTTAGTCTAATTATTAACGCTTTTATTTATTTATTTATCTGTCTTTTTTGCATAAATGTTTATTATTTATAGGAGACTGCAAGCACCTGTCCTTACACGGTGACAATAAGGACAAGCTGTTCTTCAACTCGGTACACGCGTGATCGGATCAGCCTTGCATTCGGAGATGCTTATGGTTATCAGGTTAGTGTCCAAACCAGTGTTATCAGAACTAGCCCGATCAGTGAACCGGCGAGGGCGGCATTAAAAAAAAACGAATTTTGATAATTTAAGATAATTTAATCTTATTCAATTAGTCATGCATATAATTTTATGCAAAACTGTAAATGAATGCTGCAAAATGCTACCTAATTCTTTGAGGTTTAATTTATGTTCTGGGCCACTGGCATTCAATTATTTATAAAAAAATTTATATATGAATGACCAGGTATATGTTCCAAGGCTTGATGATCCACGTTCGAGGACATTTGAGAGTTGCTCTACAGATACATTTAACATAAATGGACCATGCACATACCAGATCTGCTATGTGTACCTCTACAGGAATGGCTATGATGGCTGGAAACCTGAGTCTATCACCATATCTGGCTATTACAGTTCTTCTGTTACATTTTACTACAACACATTTCTCCCTAATGCTGTTTGGTATGGCTTTAATCATTGTAATGCCGCTTCGGCTTCCAGTTGAACAAGTATGTCAGCATGAAATTGAGTTCAATCATCTTTTAATTAACATGGTGCTTGTATCTACCGTTTTAATTTCTGTCATTCCATTTGATATTAATAATGATAATTGCATTTACAGGGTTTCGTAATTTATTTGTTGATGCTGTATGTTTATTTTCTGATGGGTGAGAATAAATAAGATGTGGATAAGGACTAGATTGCAAATAGCTGCATTGTTTGGTGCTCGTTTCATGGCCTAAATGGCCACCGTAAATTTCGATTATGAAATGATGTTAGATTGGTTAAAGGGTTTGTGCAGCTCATTAACAATTAACAAAAAAAAAAAAACCACTAAAACAAAATAGGTTTTTACTCTTTATATATTTACAAATCACTATTGGCATGCTTATAAATCATTATTTTTTAATTATTATTGACATGCTTATAAATCATTATTTTTTAATTATTTATGGTATTGTTGTAATTTTTAATACATTTTGAAGAATTTGATAGGTAATTTTTATGCTTTTAGGAATATTATATTTTGATTCTTAATTTTATATATATATATATTTTTTTAATTTTAAACTTCAATCATATTGAGATTTAAAGAGTAGTTTATATATATATATATTTTAAACTTCAATCATATTGGGATTTAAAGAGGAGGAGAGAGAAACGGAGGAAGACAAAGGAGGAGGGAGAGTGAGAGAGAGGCAAGACGAGGCGGCCTCATTTTAGAAAAAAAGATGTATAATCTGTTTCTTTAAAGCTCACTCGTGCGAGCCTTGCTGGGCTTTTTTTCTCTCTCTTTTTTTCAATGACTCTTTTTTTTATTATTGATTTTTCTGTAATAAAATATAAAAAATAAATCATTATTTTTTTTCACACAGCCTCACATGAAAAAGATATATATTATATATTTTTATAATTTAGATTGAACATATAACTTAGATTGTATTATTTTTATTATTTAAAATGTTTTTTTATTATTATATATTTTTTCAATTATTAATTAACTTTAATTTGTCTTTTTTTTAAAAGTTTTCATCCAATTAATTCAAAATTATATTTATTAAAAGTTTTGATTTATTTTTTTATATGTATAGATTTTGAAATAAGTTTTTAGAATATAATTATTTTTTCTTTTAAAAAATAGATTTATATAATTTTTAAATTATAGTGACATGATTGATATATATAATTTTTCTGAAATACATTATTAGATTAAAAGCGTATTTCAAATAATTTTTTCTAAATAAATCAAATTAGTTAATTAATAATTGAAAGTTAAATGTGAAAAATAAAAAGGAAATGATTACTCTATGCGTGAAGCTTGTATTCAAAGAGTAGCAATGCATAGCATAAAAATAAAAAAATTATTTAAGGACGAAAAAAAAGAATTCATATGTTTTATTTATTTTTTCTTTATATAATCAAAATTTATTGAAATCAATTTTGTAATAATTTTTATTTTAGTCTATTAATTTCAAATTTAGTCAATATATTCCTTATAAGATAAATTTTTTTTTATAGTGTTTTTTGTTTTATGCTGAAAATTTTGAACCATTTAGTATAGTTATGATGTATTAAAAAAATATTGAATAGTTGTTTTTTTTTTAATATTAAGTATGCAACTACTACTACATTAAGCATTTACTATTTATTTATTTATTTTTGAATATTTTTAAATTAATTTATTTTAAATTAAATGATTAAAATTATATTGGCTTAACAACTTAATGATTCAAATTAATATAGTTTTTTATTTTAATATTATTATTTCTTTGTGAATAAATATATGAAATTAAATTTACATTCTTTCAAAAATCGATATTCTCATTAGCATTAAATAAAAAAATATTTATTTGTTCAATTCTATGTAAGTTTTTATTAATTGTTATTTTAGTTTTTCAACAAAATCTTATGAAATATTCAAGTTTTTATTTAATTTTATTTTAGTTAAGAATCTATAGATGAATAAGAATAAATATTTTTTCTAATAGAAAAATTATGAAAAATATAAATAAGAAATAGTTAAATATAAATTTTTGATTAAAAAATTATAAATAATTTTTTATCTTTAATTTTATATATTTTTATAAATTTATATTATAATATATATTATCAAACCAAAATAATTTTTTAAATAATTATATATATTTTATATCTAACCTGCAGGACATAGTGAGAAAAAAAAATGAAATCTAATTTACATGGAATGTGATTGAATTTCAAACGATAACATGGACAGATAAGACAACATAGAAGTCAATCAAGCTAGGCCAGTCAACTTGTCATCCTTGACGGCTAACATTTCAACGTCATAGAACGTAAGGTTTTGGTAGCATCTAGTCCCTGTAACATAAAATTTGGGTTACCCTTTTCTTTTTGTCAAGGATTTTGAATACTAGCTGTATGACTCAAGATGATGAATGTACACTAAACTAAAGAAAAGTGAAGTGCAGCTAGAAAACTACACTGGACAAAATCTAAAGAAAGTGCAATTTGCAAGCAAAATCCAAAAGATGATCCATTTTTAAATGAAAGGAAGGCAACAAAATGAAAGGGCTAGAATAGTTGCTTGGAGATATCGCATAAAGGCCAAATGATTAATTTTATTTTATAGAACTTTAAGGTGACAATGGAAGTCAAATTCATCTGCTGTATTTTATTAAGCAATATTCATTACAAAATTCAACGCTACCATTTCTGGAAGCATTTGAAGAATAACATAAAGTGATCTTATCACCAAAACGCTAATTTCATCAGATTGCTGACAGAAATATAAGAAAAACTAGAGATGATACAGGCATGCGGCTAACTTTACCTAACTTCAACTAGCTAGGTAAGCACCAAACCAGGGAACTTAAATTAATCTTTATCTTTTACAAATGGTTTGCTTTGAACGTAGCATGATCGTATCGCAGTCAAAGTTTGAGCTTGATTCAGTGTACAAAAACTACAATGCCAAAAACTGTAAGTAGATAACTACTATATGCTTTATTTCCTACAAAAATGCATCTTTTCTCATTTGAGTTTCTACTTCTTGAAAAGGGCTGGCTAGATACCTTAGGCTGCACAAGATTATTTTGTGAGATCGGGACATCCAAAAAGAACTTGCATTGGTGTCCTTTTTTGCTGCCACCAGGCAACATAGGTAAATAAGCCGAGTTTGACAACACACTGTTTTCACCCCAGATGGACCAGCAGAAGATTTTTTTCTCGTTTTTGCTTCTCTTTTCTGGACGGTTAATATTTAACTCTTGTTTATTTGCTAAAGGATTATTATATCTATCATAATTTATCGAATAAAAGAGAGATAAAATAGCAATAATTAAATTGACAGAGAAAAAGGTAAAACTATAACTGATCCTTTTGTAGACTTTATAATAAGGTTAAAAAGGATAAATCTCCTTTGAATTTTTAATTTATATTTTGGTTTTTTTCGAATTTTTTTTAGATTTAGTCTATCTTATGGTATTTAGTTATTATTATTTTTTAATTTGATTTTTTGACGTTTTGCTTTGAGTTTTTGGAAATGCACGGGGATAAATTTAATCTATTTTTTAGAAATTCCAAAAATTTTGAAGGCTGGAAATTATATATATTAGTTTTTTAAACATTAAAAATTAAAAAAATAATTCTAAATGATTCTAAATTTTGTAAAGAGTTCTAAATAAATTTTTAGAATGATTCTTGTTATGAGACTATTTATGTAATTATTATTTTTTTGAGATAAATGACAGAAAATTGAAAGATGTATTAAATCTAAAAATAAAAAATAAAATTTAGACAAATCAAAATACAAATTAAAAACTAAGAACTAATTTTTAAATTGATTAAAATTCAGAAAATTATAGTATTTTTATCACCAAAAGCCTTGTCAACTGTCAAATTCAAGGAAAAGCCTTAATTTATTTTTCTTTTTTGCTGCCCTCCATGACAGCCAATCCATATAAAAGAATATGCATGTATACATAGCATTCGGCTGTCAGTAAACAAACCAAAACAAATCCCTTTTTTTTTTTTTTTTTCACTGCAACGAGACATCATGACTTTTCATAGCACACGAGTTTAAGGAGTAAATATTATATAACATAAGTAAGGAAGAGAAATATATAAACGGTTAATAATTCAAAACTTGCTCAAGATATGACGTATATTTTTCAAAATCAAATACATAATTTAAATATGAAATCGTATATCATATTTCAAGTTGTTCAAACTCGTCATTGAGATCTCATATCAAAATACGTATAATCAATCAAATCATATAAAATATAAAAAATATGGTGACCAAATTATATCGTATCATCGGATGCGAACATCCAAAGGTTACACCTCTCGTAGCTAGGTATATCGTTTGTTGGCCGACACACGGCTAGCAATATACCTCTCTTGCTAGTTAGAGTATTTTCATATCGGTGAGTTCACATGTTACACCTCCCGTAGCTAGATATCATAAAGTAGTCAATCAAATAAAAAAAATATATTAAATAAATTCTAAAAATCCAAAACCAACATATCAAAACACAATTCATCCTCAAAATCAAATTTGGTTATGCAATTCAATATCAAATCTTATAATTAAAATCTAAATTCAAATACAAACTCACATTCAAGTTATAAAATTGAATATTTACTTCAATTATAGGAATAAAATCAAAATAAAAAATCTTAATCAAAATAATAATTAAATCAAACCTCAAGTGAAAAACTTGATAAGAATACATAGTCAAACATTTCTTAGAATCAAAATCATTTATGGGATTTGTTTCCTAAAGAGCCTAATGAAATTCTATGTACTTTGTTTCCTAAAGATCCTAATGAAATTCTATGTACTTAAAAGAGTACGAGGCTTACCCCATTAGCCAAATTACATCCGTGGGAGGTTTCCTTGGACATATTGTTGGTCTCTTGTCTCATTTTGTCCACACATCATGGTAAAGATGAGCGAAGTAAAAAACGCATGCTTTTTCTTTGTGTTTTTTTTGGCACATCAGAAAGCCTAAGATTTGAAAAACTTGGATGATTTTACTTTGCAATAATATTTAGCTACATCTTATTACATCCGAATATTTATTCTGTTCTAATGTTTGCAGGGTCTATTTGCTATAATATCTATCACTACTCTGGTATCCATCTTGCAAATTTGCGTTAATGCTGAATTTAATGTCATAGATTTTGGAGCTTCCGGGAATGGGATCACTGATGACTCCTGGGTAACATTTTTGCTATCTAAGTATTTTTTGTTGAAGGTTTTAATCAATTTTATTTTTCTTTGTTTTTATTTGACGTAGGCATTCTTAAAGACATGGAATGCGACGTGCAATGCACCCGGCATTTCTTGGATGATCATACCGAAAGGAAAGACGTTTTTCCTGAACCCTGTGACCTTCAACGGGCCATGCAAGGCTAACAACATCAGTGTTATGGTAAGAGAAGTTAACGATATAATAACTTGCTAATCCCCATTCGAAAAGCGAGGGACTCAGTTGACTTGATAGCGTGCTTCCTGTCTTAATCGTAAGGGGTCAAACTTCAAGGCAGGCTGTCAGAAATAAAATTTTCATATAAGACTCCTGATAATTACGATACAGACAGTCTATTTTAGATCGATCAGAAAAATACACTTAATCTCGGTGCATGAAAATAAATTAACTTGAGAATACTTTTACCTATAAAACCGAAAAAATAAAAAGGAATTCATCGTTGAAAGTCTAGCCCGCAAGTTTTCGATCATTAATGTATGATCAATGATGTGACTTTGCTCTTCTTCTCCTTCTTTGTATGATAGAAAGACCTCAACTTGTTCTTTATTTTTCTTGCAGTTACAAGGCACCATTATTGCGCCTGATGGGCCAAAGAATTGGAAAGCAAGTGATTTGTCAACATGGTTACACTTTAAGAACATTGCTTCGTTGACAGTACGTGGACCTGGGTTAATAGATGGACGTGGTAAAGGCTGGTGGGATGTCTCCTGCAGATACCATCCTGGAAAGGTAAAGTGCACTGGTGGTTTAGTCATGTTATATACACCCTAACTAGCATTTCTAGCCTGCTTTATTTGTGGGCACCAGGCTTCAGTACTGCTTAATTTGAAAGAAGTATATGTTTGATTTCTGATTTTAGTTGGCCTTAAAAGTCTTACAATTGCTCTGTTTCCAACTTTTTTGAACAGGGATGTCTCACTCTTATGCCCACTGTAAGTAATTTTTGTTTTTTTAAGAGAATTGAAAGTAATGTCTTTCGATTTTGTAATAATATTGAATTGTAGGTTGTAAGATTCCAAGATTGTGAACAATTGAATATGGACTACATTAACATTGTAAATAGTCCACAAACTCATATCCATCTCTTGGGATGCCGAAATTCAGCTTTGCAATTCTTAAACTTACACTCTCCTGAAAGCAGCCCTAACACCGATGGAATTCATATTTCATCCTCTCATGATATTACAATCCGAAGCTCAATTATTGGTTCTGGTAATTGATAGTTAATTTTATTTTTCCTATAGTTTGTGAGTAATTAAAAATGATGGTCATGTCAGCATCTTTTTTCACTATGAATTGTTGATTAACAGGTGATGATTGTATTTCCATTGGAGATGCGATTTCTAACATTACTATTCTTGATATTTCTTGTGGACCTGGTCATGGTATAAGGTAACTAGTTTTTGGTCTGGTTTTCATTAAATTACTACATCTACGTACATTAAGTTTTTAATTTCTGCAAAAATATACTCTGCTATATAAGGACTGAATAAATTAGAACTGGTCTATGATCTCCAATGATTAAACAATATTGTTCAAAAGGATCGCATGCGCAAGTAATGTCATTCAAATTAGTTTGGATAATGCAGAATGTCATCAATTACCAATTTCAGACCAATTCAAAAAATAACAAGAAAAAAAAAACCCAAAAGGATCAAATTGATAGTTTTCAGTTTTCACTAATGAATTATCTCATGAATTGTAGAATATATAACTAATTGCAAAGAAGGATGAGATCATTTTCCAAATGGGATTTGTTCATAGAATAGTGTTTTTTTATAATATATATACAACCTTCGTAAGTAATTGCAAAAAGGGAAACTAAAAGAACTACGTACTACAACCTCGTACATTTCTTATTGCTTGACTTTCAATCAGCATTGGAAGCCTAGGTAGAGGTGGAAGTGTGGTGAATGTGGAGGGAATAACTGTAAGGCGCGCTAACTTCAGTGGGACAACCAATGGAGTTCGGATCAAAACATGGCAGGTTTGATCATAACATTGTTGTTTCATTAGATGCTAAAAAAAAAAAAAAATTGCTGTCCTGCTTAAGAATTTTTCATTTAACAATATAGGAGGGCAGAGGTAATGTCAGAGATGTCCATTTCTCTGATCTAACCTTCAAAGCAGTGGAACACCCAATTATCATCGATCAGCACTATGGTGATGATCTTTTGCCACTAGACAAAGTAAGCCAATTAACTTTAATGATGTGATTTTGGATTAGAATAAAAATTAATTGCATTAAATTGGTTTCTGAATTGGGTTTTTTCTATGGTTAATTATTATATGACTGACAAAAGCAAACCGGAGTGCACATAAGCAATGTGAGCTACTATAGCGTAAGAGGGACGACGAAGACAGCAGCAGCTATCAATTTTAATTGTAGCAGCAATGTTGCTTGCACCAACCTCATGTTAGACACCATCCAATTGGAATCATCTGTTCGAGGACAACATCTCTCTTCTTTCTGTAACAATGCTCATGGTATCGCTAAAGGGATTGTGAACCCTAAGTCCTGTCTTACGTGATATATCAACATGCAGCAGCAGGGCACATGCAAGCCACTTTAGTCATCGCCCACAATAATTACATAGCGTTTTTCTTTTATATATATTTGATTGAATGTAATGCTTCCTTTTATGTAATAGTCTATTATATTTTTATATTTAGCCGTGCGAGTTTTAAATTTGCAATGTAATAAATGATTACAGTTATAATGACTCATTACATTACAAGTATTATAGAAAACTATGTTATGAATCATTTACTACAAGAAAACAACATAATAGCAACGGATTTGCAATAAAAGAAATCCATCCCCAAAACGCTTGTTGCTAACCTTTATGACGGAATGAACAATGTTCATCGCTAATTTGTTTTATTTTGTAGCTAAGTTTACACCGAAACCGTCATCCTTCCACTATATAATACGTCGCAATTCCATTGCAAAAGTATCTTAAATCCGTCACTAAGCAACGATCGAAAAACCGTAGCAATGATCCACTACTAATGTTGGTCGCAATTCGTCGGTAGTTTGTCGTTAACTAGTGATAGTTTTTTGTCATTGCTATTGTTTTAGAAGAAATTAACTTTTTATCTTCATGTCCATCGTTAATCCGTCGCTAAAGCTGTCGTAAATTTTTTTATTTAATTTTAAAAATTTTGATATTTTCGATAGTAACTAACAATTAAAACAAGCAACTTACTATAAAACTTATTTTTTTTGTTAAAATTAAAATATTATAAATTAAATTAAAATTCATATTAAAAAGCTATTCGTTAGTATGTAAGAAAAAGAGTAAAAACATATAAAAAAATGTAAAAGTCATTCTATATCATGATCATCTAATCCCCTCTCGTCTTCCCGGAGCTCGCTAGGAGGGATGGTGGAGTCCTTACTAGTGGAGGGGTCGGTAGGTAAGTGGGACGTTTGCATCAACCTATGTAACGTCATTGTAATCAATGAAATCTACATCACCCGGATCTTTATCTCGCTGCTACATGATAATATTATTCCGCTCGTCTAACCTCACCTACATTGCCCTCATCCTCTCTTCATACTAGCCGGGAGTCCGATCGGTAGCATTGTGACTAGGGAATTGCGATGTCGTAAAGGATGAGCCGGCGTCGACCGAATGGGATAAATACTGCAAAGCCTCCGACTTGATCCATAAACCCTCCTCTTCTTCTACCCTCCTACGACTTCGAAGTATATGGCATCCGTGTCGAACTATGACTCCTCAATTCTAGTCTCTCGCCGCTTCTTAAAAGCTTTCCGTATCAACTCCTCCACAAGCTCCTCGCGTAATCAAAATATTTATAACATTAAAAAATAAATTAATTTTTTAAGTTATATTTTCATATGTATAATTTAAAAATTAAAAACACTTATTATTGTTGTTTGGGTCGGTAAATTGATAAAAGTTCCATCACTCGCTTGTGAGTGGCCCTAAACAACTTTAAATTTGTAGGCTCATGCCCCAATTTAATAGCCTAAAAAAAAGACACAAATAATATATGAGCTGCAAATATTAATTTCTTAAATATTGAATAATATTTGATAGAATTTACCAAACGACAGAGGTGCTCGAGTAGAGATGGACCCTCATGTATGCCTAGGCTTGAACCAACACCACCGATCTTAGATATCCGGTTATGTGATGCCTATTGCAAATGTGCTTGACGATCAAGTGTGGTAAAATCTCTGTTTCATGAATCCCACACCTCCCGCCTAATAAAAAAAGGCCCTTCGTCATTCGCATCATACGTGTGCACGAAGTCGAGTAGCACTTCCTAGCCAAAGCATCTCCGGCTCGTGCCTCAATGGTCGAATCCTAGTAAAAATACTTTTAGATGAATACAAAAAATTAATATTATTTCATTTCATATTAAATTAATATTAGTTAAATACACTAAACAAATTAATCAAAATTAACTAATTATATTTAAAATAACTTTTAGTTAACCTAACAATAAAATTAAAATATAAAACATTATTATTATATAAGTTAATCTAAATATTCTTTTATCTAAAAAAAAAGTTAAAAGAAGTAACATATTACTATTATTGTGTTTTAGTTTCCTTTAATCTAATTTAATATTTTAGATTAAAAAAATAGTTCACTTACTCGAAATATTACTACTATTGTGTTTTGGTTATCTTTAATATAATTTAATATTTTACAGAATTTTGATTTTTTATTTGATTGAAAATTATTTTAAAAAATATTATTAGGTGGTAAGTACGAACTCAAGTTTTATAGTTTATTTTTTTTTTTGAAAAAACATGTACGTTAAAATTAAAATGTAAAAAAGCAAACCTAATTAAATTAACTTTAATAAAAATAACATAATTAATCAAAATTCACCTAAATTCATTTAATACTAATTCAAATTAACACTAATTAGTCAATATTAACATACTTATTTATTTAATGCATAATTAATCAAATTAACCTAATTAAAATTAACCTACCACAATTAGTAGTATTTCGGATTAACTAATTAAATTAATAAATTCAAATTAACATAATTCATTTAAACCTAGTTTAAATAAACCTAATTAATCAACTAACAACTAATTTAAATTAACCCTAATTTAAATTCAAATTAACATAATACAATTCATACTAGTTAAATTAACTAAACCAATCAACTAATAACTATTTTAAATTAACCTTAATTTGAATTAAAATTAACTTAATGCAGTTCACCCTAATTAATCAACTAATAATTAATTTAAACTAACCCTAACTAACCATATTGGAAATTAAGCTAACTCAATTAACACTAATTTGGATTAATTAATTACATTAACAAAAAATCCTAACAACTAACAAAAGTAACAAATTAAGTAATTAATCAACTAAGTAATCAAAACTAATCTAACAATTAATACAAATAGTTAACGGGTATGAAAAAACGTAGAGAGAGAAAATTAACAATGGGGAGGCAAAGAAGAGGATTGAACAGGTGAAACACTCGGATTTTTAGGGAGAGAGGAGTGTTACGTCGGTTAGAGGATGTTAGGGAGGGAGTTGAGTCAACATGGGTGGTGGATTTGGGGGCTGGACGGTCGGCGGCAACAAGAGAAGGAGAGAAGGAGAGGAAAAAAATAGGAAAAAAGAGTTTCTACTGATTTAGGGATTAAGAATTAGTGACGGATGCAACTTCATCGCTAATTAGCAAGGAATTTTAGCGTTCGTTGCTAATACGAATTTAAATCCGTCGTTTTATTTCTTGATCTTTTCAAAAGTAGGGCAAAGTTGCTAGTTAGTGATGAAATACTCAATTCCGTCACTAATCCCTCACTATTTAGCGACAAATTTTTGTATCCATTGCTAATACGAATTTCAATTCATCATTTTATTTTTTGATTTTTTCAGAAATGGGATAAAGTAGCTAGTCGGTGATGGAGTACTCAATTTTGTTGCTAATTTGTCACTAAGTCGTAAGGGGTTTAAGTTTCTATCGTTAATTTGAAGTTCGAACAATCGTTTCATTTTCGGGGATATTCAAAATTGGGAATTAGCGATGGAATTTCTATTCGTCGCTAATTTCTCATAACTCCAATGCTAGATTAGATGAGTTTTTTTTTAGGCTAATTAGCGACGAACTCTATCCATCGCTAACATTCTATCGCAATTTCTTCCATTTCTACACATATTGGTGGTAATTCCATCGCAAAACCATTACTAAATAGAGACGATGTATTGTCCGTCACTAATTGACAATTTTCTTGTAGTTATTGTGTTAAATATTCACATTAAATGAGATATTTTGAAAAATTGAAAGTTAAGTTTAACTATAGTGTTAAATATCCTTATACATTGGGTGTATTCTTCCACATGTTTTTTTTTATATGTCTTTACATATTCACATTTTCTCTCATATGTTTCTTTTATGACTTTTTGAACCGAGAATGCCTTACAACCATTAAAAGGAAACAAATTAAATTCAAAAGTCTAAAAAAAACCCACAAAAAAAAAATCAAAAAAATATTTAAAAAACTAACTTGTCAAATTTGAAAAATAGAAAAATCATTTCTATACGACCTTGTAAATAGAGATCTATCTATGGTGATGAAATAAGCTTTCCAACATGTTGATTGTCAATTTTTTTCATTAGTTATGATTTTTATTTTATATATTTTTATGGGTTATTTAGTTTTAAAGTTTTTAATTTTAATTTCTAATTTATTTTATTTTTATAATATGGATTTTTTCAAGTTTTGTTAAGTTTTTGAAAATAAAATTTTATTTTATACATTATTTAATTTTTATATTCTTCGACTTGTTATGATTGAAGTCTCATATATATATATATATAGTTTTTATAGAGGATTCATATATGTATGTCACATATAGGATAAGGTTTTGATGATAACATGCGATATACATATAGGTGTATAAACTAATGATGTTATAATGAAAGAACAATAATAAAACAAATAATACATGAGAAAAAGAACATGAGATTTTAATTAAAAAAATTCAAAAAAATACAAAAATCAAATTTAAGCAAACTTTTTTTATAATACCTTAAAAAGGGTTATTATTATTTGTCCTATAATATGTCTCGGAATATTGAAAAACTACACGAAAGACTAAAAATCATCCATAAAAAATAATTATATTGTAAAACGAGTCAATATGAATCAATTATTGAATGATTGTCAATTATTACGTACGGAAAATTCATTTCAAAGGATTCGTTTGTCAAATTATGTGGAGCATTTACATTACTTTTTCTATCTCGTTTATAAAATGTTCATAGAATTGACAACGGATGGTGCTATTTCTATGTCCTTGTTTGTTAATCGATTTAATAACAATATTGTGAGGTGATTAATTTAAAATTCATTTAGATTTTTTTAGTATAGTTAAAATACCATAATTTCTTTGAGCGTTAAATCAAATTTAATTTTCAATAAAATATTGATTTTTCTAAAAAGCCAAAATATTTTCTTAAAATAACGAGGCTAATAATATTTATGATGCTATCAACATACATAATGTAACCTCAATGA